CATAAAGTTTCAAGCAGTGGCATGGCTCTGAGTTAGAATACTCTCCTGCCATGTAGAGGCAAAGGTTGGCGAACTCTCGCGTTAGTCGACTCACTGAGACTCGGATCATGCCCCGATTCTGGGTGAATAATATTTTCGCGAGTCTGAGTCTGGCTGAAAAAAACAGTCATGAGTGCGAGTACGAGCGAGTTCAGTGCGGGAATATTTTGGCGAGTCCGAGTGAGTCCAGAGAGCAACTTGTATTTCTTGAGTGAGTTCTACTTTCTTTTGGCAACCAAAGGTCATATCTAGTCACTTTCAGCATTACTATCAGCCTTCCCTGAATTCACGTTTATACTCGCATCTACTCACAGGTTTTCCAAAGCAGTGTCGTTGATACACCACTTCAACATTTATGGATCAGAGGAGTGATTTACATAGGGGGGTGCCTCGACGTCCCCCCCCCCCCCCCATCAACTCTTGCAGGGATGTTATGAACGTATGTTACGCTGTCATCTGGTTCAAGAAAAATGGCCTTAGTGGTTTGGAAGCACTCAGAACTGGTTTTCAAAGATACTATGTCAAAAAGAAGGGCATTGACTATGTGAGATGTTGGTGTTAAATAGCATTGATACTATGGTCGAAGAAGCTAGTTTTATGCAAACGAACTCGTGAGTTGACTCACTCGGACTCGCTTAGACTCAGATTGAGATATCAATCGGAGTTTGAGTGCGTCTGGGAAAGTAGTACTTTGGCGAGTTAGAGCCCGAGCGAGTCTGGTTGAGGAGAATTTTCATGAGTGCGAGTCCGAAATATATTTCATTAATGAGTCTGCGTGAGCTCCCAAAGTTTTGGCAACCTATGCGCAGGTAGTGCCTTTTCTCATTTCACAAGATAGCGGTTACAAACACTAGCTGCAACAGAGAACCATGCCACCAGAATCGACTGTTATGGTGATCTCGTGACAGCTTTCAACGTACAACAATGCTTCACTGCCACCTCAACGTACCTTTTCAGGGTCGTCTTCCTCGACCTTGTCACCCTTTCCTGCCTTGCGCTGCTTCTTACGCTTCTCCTCGATCTGTGAACGGTCGAAAAAAGCACATTCTCCGCACTTGTGTCACAAGCAGAGCAACCCTGTACCCACCATCAAGTCTGTGCGACCCTTGGCCTCTTCAATCACCTCTAGTGCTCGCTGCCTCTGCTGCTCATCCTCGAGGCTCTTGTACGCTTTGTTAATGACTGCGACGCCACAGGGAGAATGAACGGTAGCATGTCAGCAGTGCAAAAACGTGGCACAACAAAGAAGCAACATATGCCGTATTAAACTATGCAGTGTAATGTCCCGAAGCTACACTCTGACTGCAAGGCATGCTGTAATCGATGGTTATCAATTTTGATCATGTAAGGGTCTTTCCAGTTTTAATCATTCCTTAACTCCCTTGATTTTCATATGATGATTACGCTTGTCACAGACTTGTGTGAAATACACTGATGACTGCTCGTCAGTGGTAAAGAAAGAAGCGATGCGCACCAAAATACAAATGCATGAGCATTCTACCCTGTTGAAATACAACTGCAACAGCTTGGAATCAGATCTATGGCTTCATGCTCAGCAGGAGAGCATCTGTAATGAAACTGCTCTGGCATGTATGCAATGCACATGACAAAAGGGTCACAGGTAAATTGCTATTCTATATAAACACAAATACAAAGGAAGAAATAGCCTCGGCAGGGTAGTAAACGTTTTGATAAAGCAATTCATTTTCATCGAGCCCCGGCAATTTGTGCCGTTATCTGAAAAAAGTGCTAATGAAAATAATGTTCATATTTTGGAACCAAAACATCAAACCTATTCCTAAACCCTAGATTATGCCCACGAACACCCTGTACCACCTATATAATCAACATAAATATCTATGCCAACAAAATGGAAACCACATCAATATACCATCGAAAGCCTTCTGCGCCCGTTCACGGTCATCAGGATTTTTGTCTGGATGCACCAATATGGAAAGCTGCAATGCAATAAACACGCAATAAGTGTCACGGCAGGTGTACGCAGTAGTAATTTTCGCATTACCCTCCTGTACTGCTTCTTGACATCTTCTATGGGTGCCTCAGGGCTGATCTGGAGAACCTGCGTAAAGAGGGTGGAGAGAATTCGTGTCTATCTTACAAGTATTCTGATTTACATTATATGTCCACCACTTTTTTTTTTGGTAATTGTGTACAACGAGTTTATATAACTGGTCACTCAGAGAGGACATTCGCAGGACACAGAGGAAACCGCCAGTAAGATTGACTGAATAACCATGACAGTGATGACAATTGGCCTGTTCTTATCGCACGCTTGCTGCTAGTCCTTGCCAGTAACGGTCTCGTAATCAGATGCCCCATCATCAAATACACAGACCAGTCTGTGCTGCAATGAGCTTGCTAACAGGAGTGAAAGAGTAAGCATGCAGAAAAAACTTACTACTGAGCTATAGCTGGAAGCAGCATGCATCGCCGTGGTAGTATGGTTAGGTGTCAGCAACGGGCGCTCATGTCACCATTTCACTGTGAGTGATTTGCACCATTTGTTTGGCAATGAAAGGTGCAGAGTACAGTGAACTTGTCATATATATATGCACACGTACACTCGGGGCCATAGCCGAAATTTGGGGGGGGGGGGGGGGGGGTTAACCACACTTAACCAACCATTGTGGTTGGTTAAGTGTAGTAAACACACACATTGTGATTAACCAACCACAATGTGTGTGTTTGTATATGCAAGTAATAATGAAAAATTTCAAGCACCCCCCACTTGGATACGCTCCTACACACGCTGCCTTGTATGTGAAGCATAATCACCTAATGACACGTTAAACCAAAGATGAAAGTATAAAAGCACAGAAATTAACATGTAAGGCGAAGAAAATAAGTCCTGCATGGTAGTTGGGTAGACACGTGCAGAATTTAGGAGGGCAGCTTAAGTTGAGAAGGAATAAGGTTGGCTATATTATTAATACGCCCAACATCAACCCAGGTTGCTGTGAATAGAATGTGATCTAGGAAAGGTGATCAACAACAATAATATTAAATATATTCCCGTACTACTGAGTGTTTGAATGAAACAGTGACTGTTGCAAAGTAGCGGACTGAGTTTGCGCCAATACCACAGTGCAAGGCTTCTAAACATAGTTGAAGCAATGCACAGCAGCATAGAAATCGTAGATGAAATGATCTTTAAAGGTTATACATGACATACACACACCAGCACACACATAATTTAGTGGCTGTCAAAAAATATAGCACTGCCGTCACAATTTTCCTTCATCAAGTGTCGTACATAACCATCATCCTAATCACATCTCTGCATAGACATCTTGCAGTGCACACAGATCTAAGATATTTCAGAGTATCATGTGGTAGAACTTTGCGTAAATGTGAGTGCATCAAAACAAAGAGGCGACCTTTTCAATGCACAAACATCAAATAGCATGAATCTGGATTTTGTAAACGATGTAAATAAACAAACTTGAACAACTGCAGTTAATTTTACAATTTCAATACAGACCCCTACACATTTTTTTTTACAATTTTAATGCAGACCCTTACACATAAATTTCAACATAATGTATTGGATGAGCAAGCTGTTGCATAACAAATCCGAAAATTCCATGTTAGTGTGGCAAACACAAAACCAAACTAGATTTCGACGTTTAATCTTCAGATACAAGAACTTTTAAAGATTTTTTCCTCCTTTGAAATATGATTTGCACGCATTCAGACCTAGTTAAAAACTAATCGCGACTACTACCGCCTTCTGTTTGGCGCAGTCGGAACAGGTACGACGGCATCTTCGTTTGGCACTCTGGTTTCGTAAAGACGAAATCGTTAACGCAGTCGTCAGACTGTATTTCCGTGCAGGTTAATATGCAGCTCACCCAGTTCGATGAACACAGAACAGGTCTTTTTGATTCGTGTCTGAACATACACAAAGCTTTGCTAGGCGATCACACCAGGTAGTCGCCAGTGCGCATGCAAGACGCAAGCCTCCAGAGTAATTCAAGCACTTCTCCGCTTGACCAAAACGCGGTTTCGAACTTGAAAGATGAGCGCCTTGTACGCAGCACAGATGCTGAGATATCAATCGATTCCATTGAGCGACGGCAACATCCGCAACTCGAAGAGAACAGTCATCCTACAGCTTCAAAAAGCGCGCTCTATGTTGCTATGTGCGCTTCCTTTTTTTTACTTTATTTTTCTTATTTCATTCATCTATGCGGCGTTACCGCTTTTTCATCAATGTAAGAGCAAAGGACAAGGCGATGAGATGGCTACCGCAGTGCTGAAGAACCAGTGCTTACCTCAAAGGGGTTTAGGTTGAAATAGGTCGACCCAGGTCTCAGCAGGCGGTCGATTTGTTGTTTGGGAGTCAGCACAGAATCACGCTTTTCGATTTCTTTCACCTACGCAGCAAATGTGACAGCCGTAAAAGAGGTTTGCAAACGGAACGTGAACCCACAGTGGGTGCGCGGTGTCCTATGAAAGTGGCCATTAACGCGACGGCCGCGCGCCAGCGGGCAACTGAGCGTAATTTTCTGTCTCTGTGCGCGTTCTCAATAAAATAAGAACTTACTTCTGTGAAAAATGATTGCAATAGGTTGTCATTTACGGGCTTGATGAGATCACTCGACGCACCATCTGTAGAAGCCGCCATGTTGAGTAGGACCAAGCCAGTAGAGACCTCTGCAGTTTCGTTCACATACGAATGTCGTTTTTCTGCTGCTAACTAAATATATAAAGTCTTGAGTAATAAACAAAGTTCAATTACAACAATAAAATTAAGTATTTTGGAGGCACTTGCATTACCAAGTAAATCTTTTTTTTAGAAGTGTACACAACATGGTGGCCTTGACGCGTTATTGAAAGATTACAAGCATGACCTTTGAGATCTGTAACAAAAACACTCGTAAAAAGCCAGTCAGCGGCCAATAAAAGCCAGTGGAATCCACAAGCTTTTGATTTTGAGATTGAAAATAAATGTCGACCGTGATGACTGTTTGAAGGCTCCTTTTTCGAGTTTTGTCACTCTATGCGCGATCGGGCCCTTCGAAGAAGAATGCTGAGGCGTGTGCTTTGCAGTTAGTTGCATCGCAATATCAAATAAGAATTACAGCCGCGGTGCTTAGCCTGGAAAAAGAGCTGTAGCCGGTTGCCGGTCAGTGTTTAACCAGGAAAGGCGATACGATGCAACTGAAGTGACGCAGTGCTATTGTATCAAGGTGTGAGTATAACCCAGCTTCGTAACGGCGGCAAAGAAAGGAGAAATGTGCGGCGGTAAAGAAGAGCACTTCGCCTTCGGCCCATGGAAAGTGACGGGCCGATCTAGCCACATCCTCCAGTCACAGTGCCCAACGCCAAGCGTGTGCAAAAGTGCCCCATCTGATGGGACCGGTGAAAACAGGCAAATCTGCCTTTTTTGCAGGTAAACGAAAGTTCAGTGCAGAGTGTAGCTTCAAACACTCTCCGACAGTGTATGTGTACATACTTGGTGAGTCAAGACAGCGCTAGAATATATGATGTTAACCCCAGTCCCAGAAGTTTCTCGTCTATCGAATGGAGGTCGCAGCGTTTTCATGGTGAATGATCCCGAGAGACTGAGAATTGTTTGCACCGAAGTGTAGGTTTCAGTTGGTAGCAGCGATTTTGTGTTATCAAAGAAGCAATACACGGACTTGTGCAAACAGCGGAACATGTTTTACATCTTGAAGTACAACTCATGTTCTCGCCATGAGCTAACCAAACTAAGCATGCAAGACACTTGTAAAAGCCCATGTTACGTTCTCCTGTGTACTTTGTTGAACTTCCTTTAGTAACATTTGTTGCATGCGAATGCATGCATGGGTCTCAGTCTTACGAAAATATACCCTTTCCAATCCTCAGATTTGTTGATGAACTGAAGCTGCCAAGCCACCCGGACATGACCTTCGCCAGCAACATTCTCCGGTTAGAGCACACGGATGGGTTCGGGATAGAGTTCACCTGCATCGACGCACTGCGCTGTCTCAGCAGCGAAAACTACATCCCCAAAGTGGCCGCAGCACAAGCATGGCGGGAAGCAAGGTGGGAGGGACTATGCTACTCAACCCCCGCCAGTCCACCGCATTGCCATGCAACCTGTGTACATTGCTTTAGCTGTTTGTTTCCTGTGGGTTTCATCTACTGGTGTATGAAGGGAATTTCGAGGGCTCATTTCCATTTGTTTGGCGGAACCTTAGTGAAAAACCATTTGATAATGAAGCCTAGGAAGGCATGGGCAACGTTAATTCTACTGGTTTAAGTGTGTTGTTGTAATTGTGAATCAACAACTGGGCTAGCCCGTTTAAATACATTGCTTTATCTGTACCAAGCGACCGAAGATGAAGATGCTAGTCTTATTCTTCCTGTTTCTTCTTCGTCTCGATGCGTCTGCTTCAGACAAACCATGTAGTTATGATACAGGCATGAAGAATGTGGACAAAAAAGACCACTCAATGCCGGCAGGGCGTCAAGTAGTCCTACACCTACAACCTTGGGATCATGCGTTGATGCTCTTACCAATTGAACTTTGGTGGCAGTCGTCCCATTCTCCACTCGCAGACGAGTTCGGTTCCTGCCAGAGGAAAGTTGTCTTTTCGTCTATTTTACTTTCTTCACATTTACATCACAATTACTACCGTAGATTCAAAACAGTACATACATTAACGTCACCTATACCTTCCCTGGCTCCATCATCTGCTGGTTTCTACTGAAAATGTACTGGTCGCGTTATAGTGTGTGCTATGCTACACAGGTCACAAGAGGAAACTCTAGTGCTAGTGCAAGCGTGCTGGTTAAGCTGTCATGGGAATCTAAACTTCTGGCTTCATGTGGCCTTGAAAGTTAACAAATTAACTAAACAAAATATTGCATATCAAGTGCATCATTTGCATTTTTTAAAAGTTTTTTCTGTTGCATTTAGAAAACGATTCCTCAGAAATCTTCCAAGATAAAGTTAAGTAATGCTACAAGAGCATCTGAATCCACTGGCACCATGAAGGCACATTGGTTAAGTCCCCTCCCCTTAGTCCTATGAAATGCACCCTTTGGACTCGGGATGGTTCGGGACATTACAGTGCCTCAGTTCTGACTGCATTTTCTGTACAGGAACACAGCCAATGCAATATATTTCAAATGCTCCTGGCCATATGTTAGTCTGTTTAAATTTTGACTGTGTTTTGCTTTTACACTCCTATTTTGCTATCATAGGCCACTTGCCGACTATTCCAAAGAGGACGAAGACCATTTTGATTGGACTTTCACCACCGACTACAAGGGGACACTCTTTGGCAACGACAAAACTATTGTGGTATGTCAAAAGTCATGCCTCGTCACAGCAATAGCTTTCTTCCTTTTAATTAAGAAGTGTCATACATTTTAATCTACCATTTTTTATTCTCTGTATGAAATTGTCTAACAAGCTTACGTAATGCGTAGCTTAAAGCTTATGCATTATGCAGAACTTCCAGTTGTGGCAACTAGGCTGGTGAAAAACATTCGTCATTAAAATGATTTCTTCAGAAAGGTTCATGTAATTTGTATACATTAGACATCTTACATTATTTTATAATCTTTAATTAGTAGGGCTTTGTTATAACCAAGATGCGCAGCCTAAATATGACTGATGCTTTGTCAGCCCTGACCAACATAGGTAAACCTCCACACATAAAAGCACTTGAGTTAGTTTCTATTGTTTCTTTGCCCCCCAAAAATTTGTGGCCTGCCCAACTCCTTTTGTCAACTAGCATTATCAGCTGGCCCCATATGTACCACGACCAACTCTGCTGCCATCCTGTCTGGTGATATTGTGCTAACATTTTCCATTTCATTGCACATTTGAACTCCTCAACATCATCTGAAGTTTCTTAGTTATCTCCTGAGCATCAGCTCCATGATTTTAATGATTATATGCTTTTCACTTTTAAACAGCAGTAGCTTGAGTGTCGTGATCTAGGAATGCCTGTTGTTTGGGCTTAAGCCCATACTTATTCTTAAGTGGATTTCCTATATGCGTGTGGCCTCCCCTGTCCGAAAATGACCTAGACATGTGCGCAGATGTAGCTTTACCTTGGAGCTTCGATGATCCAATCACGTTTAAGGCCAAAAGATGTTGCCAGTAAAAATTTCAACCTCTTTGCATGTAGGTGAAGGAGACAGAGGAGCGCATTGACTTGGAGAAGCTGAAGAAGCGAGAGCAGATCCTTTTTTACCAGGACGTTTGTCTGTACGAAGATGAACTAGCCGATCATGGAGTTGCACAGTGCTCCGTTAAGCTGGTAAGTTGCTCCCTCTAAATGCTACAGGCACTGCATAATCAGTTATTTTAACATTCTCTTAATGATAGCATTGTTGTTTAGACATTGTCAAATGTGGGACGCTTGTTTGTCGTTTGCATTGTATTGTATTAGTCAATGCCTAAACAAGACCCCAGTTGCGTGCCCTGTAGTGTGTGTGTGCACACATGCACATACGTGTTGCATATATATATTTTTTTTAAGTGTGAATACACTTCATAAGCGACCCCAAACCATCCACCGCCGTCGGCGGCGTCTGCAGTCTTCTCTCTATCTTTAAAAGAAAGAGGACTTGGCGGGTCGCAGCGCGACGCTCTACCGAATAAGCCACGGACGCGACGCTGATATCGGTGTCAGTAACGCGCCTTATACCCCCTCCCCCTTCGCTCGCTCCTCCGCTCACCTCGCTCGCTGCAGCTGCGCGCGCACCCCTCTCTCTCGCGCGCCCGCCTTCTTTCTCAGTCTCCCGTCGAGAGCGGGTCGTGAGGGGGAGTAAAGTTAAAATCTGTTGGCATTCGCCAGTGAGTTAACGTAAACTCTCCCGTGTGATCAAATTGCGATTCCCAGGAACCATTACACCATAAAGGCACCATAGTGTGATTAATAAATATAATAGTGCGAATTAATAAATACCCCTCATAGCATCAGCCCGTGTATTCGCACCTAACCATGTTCACCCTCGGGGAAATGCTTGGGAGTTTTTTTGCATACTGTGCACGAAATGCTTTTCGTGCAATCTCAGTGGTGGTGTTATAGATCCTTGTACTTTCATCCTTCATTGGTAAAAAAGAATCCTAGGTATGGCATTTCGGAACCACGTTTAATATTATTTTTTAAGTGCCATGTTCAGGTACTCATGCATATATGCATTATATGTCCCACTGAATTAAAATATATATATATATATATATATATATATATATATATATATATATATATATATATATATATATATATATGAGGAGAAATTTGAGATTTCACAAACTTGTTTATTCACTAATGTATTCGTAATTTATTAATTGTGAAAATTGTGCCGAGGAAAACTGCAGTTAAAGAATGAGAGCTACGGTGTTGTATCTCACTAAAATGGCAAGGCCTGCACACCACGAGTGATAACATTCACAGTAATCACCATTTGTTAAAGCACAATTTCACTACTGCAGCACGATTGCAGCATCTGCCGAGTGCTGGACCGTGATAACCTTGCTTCTTCCCGCTTTGTGCAGCGCATCATGAAAAACAGCTTCTTTGTGCTGCTGCGATACTTCCTGCGGGTCGACAACGTTCTCATACGCATGAACGACACACGTTTCTACCACGAGGTAAGAACAAACAGCCCCGCAGGCCTGCACCGTACTATGGTATACTATTTTGAGTTGGTCTTCCCCGATTGGCAGGTTTGAAATTCATCAGGGCCCCCCACATTGCTAGTGCAAGTGGTGCCAAGCGCGATGACAAGGTGCAAGCAGAAAAGGCGCAGTAAGATGTGTGCCTTCTGTAATGGGTGGCTCGCCTTAAGCCATTAAGTCATGATAATGCCATGTTCTGACGTGCTATCGTAATGTATGCTTGTACCACACATTATTACTCGATATTATATGTCACGTGTATACATTACGCGTGTATTTTGTAAAGTATGAAAGCCGCTTCCACTCATTTCCAAGCAGAGAAAGTTATTTTCAATGTATTTCCAAGCAGACGCCTGGCTCTGTGGTAGAACGCCTGCTGGCACGCAAACGACCCGGATTCGATAGGACCTACAATTTTTCATTGTTTATCTTATTTGGATATTTGCCGATTTTTCGGTCACGTACAAGATGATTTTTCGCTCACAACCACTGACGCCAGAATTTCTGCTAAACGAGCTCATCAACGCTATGACGTTAATAGCAATGCCATATTCTATGGTAGAGTATGTGCTCGCAGAACGTGCTCTGTGCTGGCTGACATAACCTTCCTCCTCTTTACATCTTTCACATATTCCTCCTTTTCACATCTGAACCACTGAAGGGGAATCATAGAAAAAAAGGATGAGTACATAACAAACGAAATAATCAGACAAGGACTAATCTGTAACTTCTAATTGTGTTGACTATGCCTAGCTTTACAACGCTGTATTGACAAGTGTACCGAATAAATTTAAAGTAGGCAACACCCGTGAAAATGATTTAACGTGCTAATCCTATAAGTTCGTATACGACAAACAACATGCCTGCCTAGCACGAAGATGCTGCAGCACAATGGCGACTTGTTTGTTAAATTTGAAATTCCACAACCTCGCTCATGTCTCCGTGTTAGGTCTATACAGCTATTCTTTACCTGGTCTTCAAATAGATAGGATATTATCCTAGAACTGCAGGCAGATAAACACTCAAGTTATTAGCACTTGTATCGTTGTTGATCTGTTTTCTCATCAGTTTTGTATGCTCACACAATATGGTTAGAAGCAGTGTTCATGGTGTTGACAGTATGACATAAGCTTGTCTGGCCAGCATGAAACATGCTATAAGAATTAATGCAAGTACAGTAGACTCTCATTAACCCTGGAATGCCCAATGTATCATATTTGTCACATTAAACCATACCTCAATAACCCTATTAAGAGCTACTATAGGTGTCACAATAAACAGCTATTACAGATTTGACATATAATGAAGAAGGTATAGTGACTTGCGTATTACTATATGACAGTAATTATTATTTCCAATTAGTACTGAGTAGGTTATACCTTAAACAAAATTTCATGTATATATTTCTTAAAATATTTTCTACAAGGAGAGTAAAAACAGTCAGTGTTTTCTCACAAATTTTCTGAAGGCGTAACTGTTCCTGAGAATTACAGGGTTAAACGAAACCTGAAGAAACCAGTAAAATGTGTTTCATTTAACAGGAGTTCCGATTACTGAAAGATAAACAGGAACGCACAATGCAAGAACGAAATCTATCTTGTTAGAAGCATTTGTTCCATTTAAGCAACGGTTCCGTTTAACAGATTCTCGTTCACCGAGTCTGAGGAAGTGTACGGACAGGAATAATCTTCCACAAATATATTAATGTCTCGGCTCCACTGTTCACGATCAAATTGCTCCAAGGATTTAATGCACTATTCAGCAAACCATTATGCAATCATATTCTGCTGTTAACAATTATGTCTTATCTTTGCAGGCAGGCTGGAATTACATACTACGGGAGTATACCAGTCGGGAATGCGAGGCATCACAACTTGATGTGAGCCGTCGATTTTTTTTTCCTCTTCCAAACTTGCTCTGTTCTGAATGTAGAGCACTATGTGCAAGATGAGTCACGTTTTTTTGAATGTTTGCACAAATTTGTTGTAGAGAAATTGCATATTAATAAGGAATTATGAGGTTGGACTTGTCATTAGTGAAGAACAGCTGTGTGAACATTTGCACGCACAAAAAGAGACAGTATGCACATACGTACTGCATGTAGTACCAAAATGTTTTGTTTGGAGTGCTATTCTTCAACAGCCGGATTTTTTTAACACTCTTTAATTTTATGTTGGCAACAGGCTGATTATCAATCAGTAATATTCACCAAGCCATTTTTCACTCACTTCTAAATTTAAAGTAAACCTTTTTTTTTTTTAATTGCTAAACAGTCAAGTAGCAGCAAGTAGATGTGAACAGAACCATCTGCACCGTGAGGAGCCAGTGCATAATTTTTGAAACGGTCAAGGCACCTCCACTGCCAGGTGCATTGTTCCTTGAATTTTGTTCACGAATTTTATGGTTCTGCAAACTTGGTAGCAAAAATTAGCATGCTGCATAGCACAGCCAACGATTAGCCTGTGAGGTGACATCCAACGAATCACGAGACATTTTTGTTGGCTGACATTAATAAACAACCCTTTCACCCAATCCATGCTAGGTGCAGCATTTGTCTCTGTAAGGAGCAAGCTTTGATGCGAGTGTGTGTGCATGGCGTACATTGCTAGCCCATTCTCGACTATCTTATAGTATTTACTTGCTGCTCTCATGGCCCGTCACTATGCTCCATGCATGAATTTACAAAACAGCTGTTGCTAGTAAAGCACAGAATTGTTTATTGGAGTTGGTTTTGTACAGCTGCACATCATCTGAAGCTGTTAAAAAGAAAGCAATACAACTCTGAACATCTGGACGAACAGTCCGTTGCTCCATAGGCATGATTGCTGAAGCACGCACTATTGCCCGCAACAGTTGTGTGCGTTCTGTTTTGGCATGCACACAAAGCTCATCAATGACCCGATTACGCTTTTGCAGGTACCGGTAGCAGTGCTCACCGATCCCGCTGCCCTGTGCGAGCATATTCCAGTACGCAAGACACTGATGGAACGTCTGCAGCTTCCTTGCTGAAACCAGAGAAGAAAAAAAGACTGGTTTTTGCATTGTTGAGTGGTGCTCACTGTCCCAATGCTTCTGACCACTGAATTTTCACTTGCTCTATGAGCGGGTTTCATTTTGCATAAAAGTGTTCCTTCGTGGAGTATCCTCCCTTGTAAGGAAGACTAGACTCTACTTGCGCTGTACTGCCCTGCGCGTACCAAAGAGTTCTGTATCGAACTGTGGTACTGTTAGCCCATTTATGCCAGAAAAATTGCCTCAATCAAGCCCTCTTCATGATGCCTGACATATGCAAAAGTAAAACATAAGAGTTAAACAAAATTTCATGACAAAACAAGTGATGTAGACAATGAACTGCTGCACACCATTTTATGATACACAAAACATTACCACTACTTTTAGTTTCATTATAAGAGACAGAATGAAGATTTCAAACTGTCTTTCATCATGGTAAATGAAATTCTGAACTATGCAGCTGACCTTGTAAAATTCTGCAACTATACTTCTGAAGGCTCATATGATATTACTAGTGCTTCACATGATACATTTCGACAACTTGTTCCTGTGCATCGCAGAACTATTCAGAATGTTTGAGTTTGTGTCTTTATCTACCACAAATTAACACTTGTGTTTGACCTATGAAAAAAAGGGTACACAGTAAGCAACTGTGCTGCTTTTTCTGAAACTAAATATGGAATATAAAATCTTTCATATATATCTTGTTTTAAACAAGGAGACTGGAGGCAGTACACTACAAGCAAAAACAAAGCAAGGTTTTGTGGGCTGATGACTACTATTATCTTTTTCTTCCTTTCACAATGCTACAAGTGCATCGTTGGCCACATTGCTCAGGTGGATACTATGCGTACGTGTGAGCAAAATCTTACAAACAGTATTTCACACATCTCCTACTGGAGGTTGTGTGCAGCAGTTGTTTTCATCTACGTGACAACAGACACACAACTTACGCAAAGACAGCATCTAAGCAACGGGAAATGCCATTCCCAAACGCGTCCTCCAGGCGTTGTAAGCTCCCAGGATGTCTCCCGTGGATAGCAGCCGCTCAACTTCTCGACACGCCGCCTCAACTCTCTCCCCGACTTTCACGTCCGGCATGGCTTTCGTGTCATCGTAGTCTTTCGCCATGTCCTGGGTGCGAAAGAAATGAGCAGCACCGCTTTGTAGTGTGAAAGATCCTGTTTCAATAAACAACGTGATCTCAAACTTGCTCCAAAATCTGTAATGTGCTATAACACTGAAATGAAAACAAGGCTGCTTTTAGTTCTCAGCTTTGCATCATCCTGCTTCCTCGTACCGTGATTCTACGTGGCCAATCTTTTGCTATAGATCCAGTGATATATGCGGTGTTTGTCATTAGACATATATAGGTATCATATATAAAAATAAATAAAAAAATTACAAAACTAAACAAAGGTATTAGACAAGCTCAGCAAACATAACTTTGTAATGAAGGAAACTAGCAGCAACAGGACGGAGAAACAGGGCTAGACACCTGATGACAGATGCGACGGCATGGTGTTTTGATGCGTATCTATGAAACAGCACGCAGTCATGTATTAGTTAACGAACACTTCGACCAAAAAGTACATTAAAAAGCGTAAATCCGGTGCTCCGGAATCGACTTGGTTCCTTTCTCAGGGGGGACTGTGGCTACATTGCAGTGGCGTCTTCAAGGCACTTGCGGGGCAGTTAATGACCCCCTACCACCCCCCTCCCGTTTTGCTGCGGGCGTAATCCGTGTGCACACGGACTACGGCCCCGGTTCCGAAACATCGAGTTTACACTTTCTCACGCAATTTTTTTAGTTGGAGTTAAAATTGTTTCCCTGTTTACCGTCCCAACCAGACAGAGATCTGTCCAATGGTTACATTCGAACGCTTGAAAGTGTTTCTGGAGCTGCGTGCGAGTGCTCATGTTTAAAATGTGTTGCTGGTTTTTGTTTATCTTCTGAAAAAGAAACAGGCATATTCAACACAAAATAAGTGCTTGATTCTGAAGTTATTATAGGCAGCCTACAACTTAGTTATTTATTTGTTGATTAGAGAATGGATAGAGAAGTTACCTAATAAAATTTTTCCCATTAACTGTTTAGTGATGAAAAAAATATTCGTAGTATGTACGTACGACTACGACTAATATATACAGCAGGTAAAGCTTTCCCAGGGTGCTTTTTTTTTTGTTTTTGTCGAAGTTAGAAGATTCTTGCATTTAAAATCATTTTTAAGTTTCATTTTCAGCTTCTCGTGAAGAGCTCTGAGCATGTCACTGCTCGTTCGATAGCTTCAGGTACTGCAGATCCCTTCAAGCTGTTCATCGAGGAAAAAACAAAGAGGTGACATTTTAGTCTTACGAGCATGCGTAGCAATGTCTCCGCTCTGAGTGCCGGCCAACAGCAGCCCGCAGGCAGCTCGAGCTCCAAGGATGAGACACCTTGACCCAGAGATTCTAAATGTGCGGGCCATGCTTGAAGTCCAAGGCGCTCGGTAAACCTGTTGACACCACCTAGGGATTCCAAACGCAAGGTTTTGCATATCTGAACGGAAATATCTTCCTACCAACTTGGGGAAAAAAAAAGATTAATTATACTTTTTTAAATAGCTTGTTCCAGCGAATTAATGTCATCTACACTGCAATGTGACTGTAAAAGTTAGCTTGTCAGCTGTTAAAAGCAATGCATCGCGAGAAGCACAACTCCAAGAAAGAGCACCTGTTCTTTTTCAATACGCAGTATTACGCTTTCTCTTACAATGGGAAAAACACTCATGTGTATTGATGAGAACAGACAAGGATGCTAAGGAAAGTACAGGGCATGCTGTTAGTAGTAATTGTCATGGAAATGTGAAGTAGACGAAGAGATAACTTGCTGTTGTCAGGGACTGAACCTGAGACCTTCAAATAGCGCGTTCGATGCTCTACCAACTGATCTACGGCGGCTGTCATCCCTCTGTCCACTTTCTAGAGCAGTGGTTCTCAGCCATGGATGTGTCGGGGACCCCTTGTGAACTGGTGGAAGTGATGGGGGGCCCCTTGCAGCGAAAAGGAGGGAAGGGGGGGAGATTACGTAAGTAAATTAACACAACTGGAGCATGAAACAGGTGCCTAAAAACATCAAACAAACATGCCACATCATTTCATTTTGGACAGTTCATCAATATGTGGCACTGTCACGCTTAAAGAAAATGCGGATGAGGGTTTTCCGAATCACAGAAATAGCTTCGTGAACCCCCTAAGGTCCGCGGACCCCCATCTGAGAACCACTGTTCTAGGGTATACAGTATACGTGCATTTAAACGTAGGAGTGTCAGTCAGCGCCGCTAGTAGCCACTACGGTGAGTGCGGGACACTTTTTTTTGCCTGTCTGTGTCACATGGCACGTGATCTTAAGAGCTGGCAGCTGACCAATTAACGCCTTTGTATACTACCTGAAGGCGCCAGAACGAGACTTTAGCTATGAGTGAAGGAAATAAATGCAAACTTAACAAAAAGTGTAATATAAAATGTAATCTGCTAAACGCAATCAGAGTGTGCAAATGAGAAGTTAGTGCTCTCAAAAATAACATGTCAAATTCTATAGTAATTATTTCAAGACATTTTTTTTTTCTTTCATTTCTGCATGTGTAATTTGCCTCTGTTACCTAGAATGTTCCCATTTCTCAACTTTATTGCTCCTACTCCTAGGCCTGCAGCACACTAGCATTTGGAATTTTGTAGCACGAACAAACGTATCACATTGAAAATTGCTCTGCTGAGTCCTTCGCTTTATAATGTTGCCCATGACTTCAACAGTGACAACTAAATAAGACATCCAAGTAGACACAGGGACGTAACTAGAGAGGAGTTCAGGAGGTTCTGATACCCTCCATAATTTTTACATGGTATAACTTTCCGAGTGACACAAAAGTATTTACACTCCTTCACAGATTCGACATGAGTAATTCGACCATGTTTATAAATAAAATGGCTGCTTTTGGCAGCCGTTCCACTCATAAACAACCCCCCCAAAACATTCCTGGGTACGGCCCTGAGTAGACACTGCTGGGCTCCATTATATCGCTGCTAGCTAGTGCAAACAATTTGGAGTAGCATCATTATCAGCTTCATTTCTGCACGATTACAGGATTTGTACGCGTTTCGGAGAAAAACTTTGAGAGCACTGAAGGACTTACAAAGTCCTATCAAAGCTTTTTTAAGAGTGCGAAGCGGCATTCAATGTAAATATTTTTACTCTATATGATATTTCCAGAACACTACAGGTAACTTCACTGCACCAGCTGCACCAGAAGTACAAAAATGTGTACTAGGGATATCCAGCCTTGCTGACACTTTCTTGAATTTGATGGTTGATGGCCACTAGTTCTCTCACTATCCTTCTGGAAGTGTGCCCTGAGCAAATAGGCAATTAATATTCATAACATGGCCGGGATTCAAAACCATTTCCTTCAGCTTGGCAGTGCAAAACTTCAGCTGCTGAGTTGCCATGATGGTTCAGTGCCCTGCAGTTGAAGCAACCATTTTGCTTCTGCAGAAGTGTGATTTGATGAAACAATGCAACCTAATTGTTGCCTTTACTATTTCTTTATAGTTTATTAAAGTTTTATCCACCCGGAATGGAATGGTACCCCTGCCCTAATTGTAACATCAATTCACACAACACATTGTCGAGAGAATATATGCTTCAGCAGGGCGGAAAAGTGTGAAAGTTATTACAGCTGCATACAGTAGACCCTCAGTAAATAAAAATCTCTTAAACAAAACAACTGCCCTTATTAAGATTAGTTTCGTACTTGAATTCTGCACCCCTGCTCAGCTCTCAGCAAGCACAACACCTATTATAGGAACACACTTTCCTGGTCCCTTCAGGTTCCATTCATCGAGTCTGCTAGGCTTAGTTTTTACAGTTGCATATGAGTATGATGGCATACGAGTTTCCTCACGCTATGTGTCAAGTATGTACCTATGCTTACATGAACCACTGGAAACTAAGTGGCTTGCCACAGTGAGCACAGCTGTTTTCTGTGCAGGCCCTTCCTTGATAGAGATTTGTGACGGAAGCACTGTTGTCTTGAGCAAAGTTAGCACTGGTTTTCCTGTGGCTTCCCTAGATGGTAACACCAAAGACATAGTGGCCACTGCAGCTGTATCACATCTGATGCGTATCTTCAATGGCTTTCCCCCTGGAAGATAGCAAATGCAATTAATCAGGGGGCAATACTTCAAAGCAATAACATTAAGAAAAATAGCCCCTCTCTATCTTGTGCAGTGCGCAAAATCATTTCCTTTCATTGTCTTGCTTTACTAAAGTGCCACTCCAGCTTATTTCATACACTAGATCTACTGAATTATCAGACCAATCAATCAATACAACCATTCCCATTTGGCATGTTTAAGGCATGACGGGAGCATACCCAAAAGGCCAACAAATATGTTGGCTTCATGCGCACCATATACCACTTTTCATGCGTCGGCAGCAATAGCTGCACATAATAATGCGTCAACGATGAGATTTAAAATCAGTGGGTAACAAAAGCAAGGGAACACATGCACAATCACAATAATATGTAGAACCACAAAAATTCAATGAAAAGAAACAGGAGTGGAAAAAATACTAGAAGTGTACATACTCTTGTAGAATGATAGAAAAATGAAGAAATCGTAATAATAAATTAACACAAAAGCATAGTGTATGCAATATGAGATATGCCGCAGATTTTAATTTGTCTCTGCAGCAGCAACAAGTGTGATTTGGAAGCTTTAGATATTGCACATTTATTTCCAGAAATGCTAAGGCAGCTGAAGTACTAGCCTGTCAGTGCTTGGAGTGAAAAGAAGAAAAAATCTGCGAAATCTGCATACAACGAAACAATTACGAGATGCAGTGAAGTAGAGTAAACGGCTACCTGTTGCTGGAGAAGCAGAAGCAGACCGACAAATGGTGCGGTCGCCAATGTCAAAGCTGGCAACATGAACCCAGTTTGAGGCCTCAGAATCCGGGAAAGTGGCTACCAAGTGCCCATCTTCACGCTGAGCGTTGACTGTTATCGCTGGAACACAAGACAATATAAACACGAAAGTGACCAAACCTATAGTCAAAAGTTTTGCTCAATCATGCATGGGTCTTGGCTGAATTCGTACGTGTACTGGTGTTACAGAGTAACTACTATATAGAATTTAGTTAGAAGTGATCCGATCATATAGGCCTCGACTTGAAATGGTATATACTGGTGTTTATAGACCAACTAAGAAGAACTTGTTTATTGAATGGATAACTAAGGAAGCAAGCTAGTTGACAAAAGCAGCAATGCCAGTTGATGCTGCAGACGCTCAGGGTTTAAGAGTGGTATGACCATGGCAGGTGCACATTTAACAATGACTGAGAGGTATCAAAATTAATTTGATTTGGATTTTAATTATGCATATAAGGAAGCCAATTTTAGCAATTATACTTATTTGTTTTACTCAGTTAATAAGCTTTTGCAACTGCATTCAAGCAGTAATGTTATGGTACACCCCACTCGTCTGCCCTTGAATAATCTTTTAGCTACAGCTATTAAACAACTGCGCAAGTGTAGTTTCAAAGGCTCTTGCTGCAACTCGACACAGGTATTGTCTACCTTCTGCTGAGAAGAGGGGACCACATTTCAGCTCTTGGAGCACAGTGCACACATCTGACTTATTGTCTACTCCACAATGTCCGAATCTCCTTGTTAGTACATATAGTATTTCCCTTCACTCTACAGAAACGGTCAACTTATTTCTTCTACTTGCCTGCATTTCACCTTAAAGGAGCCCTATGAAGCCTTTCCATGTACTTTTCTAATGGCTTCATTGAAAATGTCAACTGCCTCACGGATCAACTGCCACAAAAGGTTTTTGAATCCATCAAGTAAGAGGGGAGTTGGAGTGATTTGCTGCTTGCTTAAAGCACTTTCTCTCCTTTCGTACGAGCAAGCACACTAAAAGCTATGCAAGGAGGAAGATAACAAGGGCACAAAATGCATCTTTTCTTCAGTGTGTGTCATGACCTTGAGGACTTTCTTTTTTCTTTCTCGGAACGCAGCTAAGTTTCGATGTGATCATGAGCGCGTGCATGGGCGCGTGCTGGCATCATAAGGCGGCTCACGATGCTTAAATCAGCCAACAGCTGTGAACTTTCGGTGAATAGCATTATTTGTTGAGAGAAGGAGTGACTTCTTGCTGACTTGAAGAATTGTAAATCCCAGGCCACATGCTACACTATAATGAATGACTCGCCTGCTCCGAGGACCTTAAACTGTAGATTGGAAGCGTTTACTGATCATGCTGAAAAAGTGTTACTCTTAGCTACTTGGTGAAAAAGGTTATCTTAGCTACTTTGATGAGTGGTGAAAAAACATAAAGATAGACTTAATCATTTACACTTCGAACCTCAGTTGTCTATCATTTTCTGCAGCATTAGTGTAAAGAAACTTGCTCTAACATCGACTCAATGGTTAGAGGGCAGTATGTCAAGTACGAACAATGTAGCCGATTGAAATTCTAATTTTTAAGAAGCCTTTCCAACATCAAGCGATACCATCTCATCAAGTGCTGCTCAGTCGGTAACCAAGGAATTTCAATTTTTCTCGTATTAGTAAATAACCTTTTTAAGATACCGCAAACACCATGCTCGCTCCGAGAAGACGCTTGGTAAGCAACAAAATTTAAAAGAAAATGTTGATGGCCACATCAGCTTGAAGTTCCTGCACCGATAGTCGTGACGTAATACATTTTTACAGCATCTACTTGGGCCTATGCAGTTCCTGGTCAGTAAAAATGAAGTACATTAGCTTCTGAATAGGCCATAAACCTAAATACCATGTTTTAGGAAATGGCCTTGAGCCAATGCTATCAAAATGCAAAAAAAAAAACACCTTGAAATATGTGATGTCTATAATGAATTTTAGTGAGAAATTTAGAAGCAAAGTTTTGATACTAATTTTTGCAGCTATTATTGAACCTATGGTAGAAAATTAACGAGACAAGAGTTTTTAGAGCACAACTTATTAGTTTAAACTAATTTATTGCTGCAGTTTAGTGCTTCTTCAACAAGGAAGAAGATCAGAGTCCTAACTTCTAAAGCACTCTGTTTGGCATTTCGCATGAAATTATCTGATCACGTGCTTCTCGGTCAACAACCGAGGGGTCTCGTATTCAGCTGCATTACGCACTGTTTCTAACCCTTCTCTCTGTGCACTCACAGTGATGTTGGAGCTGTCTCAGCTGCTGCATAGCAGCCTGGACGAACAAGAGCTCATTCTTGGCCTGCACGATAGGGTGTGGATGCAGACCCTGCAGCGAAAGGCGTTGTCGAGGCAAGGGTGACACCAGGCGCACGCCTCCACTGCCATCCAGGATCAGGAGCCCAGAGACATCCTGGTTCAGCTCACTCTCACTGGTACTTGCTTCAGGGTGAAGCTTGGTTAAGACTGCAGGCGGGGCAATGTACACACAATGGCAATCTTAAAACAGAGGCAAGTGAGGACTCGTTTCTATTACTTGAGCTAACAGCTTAGAGACAAGAAACTCAGAGACAGAGCTCAAGAAGAGCTACCCCAAGTAAAAGACATTTACTAGTTCGTAACTGATACGTATAATTATTTTTAATGTAACTACTGTGCTTCTAGTGAACTTACACCTTTAAGTGTGCTTTGAGGTGTCTACACCTCTTGATAGTATATTCCTTTCCATAAACACTGACTACTGCAATGCATACATCGTTTCAGCAATCCTCACTTCAGGGCAACACCAGCAGTGTGCACAAGTGGAGGGAGGGAAGGCTGCCCCCCCCCCCCCCCTTAAATTTCCACCTGCCCTGCTTTGCCCCTCCTAGAGCAAATATATCCACAACATAGCACGCATGTTCTTAGCCTACCTGTACCCCTGAAGGAACCCGCCTCTCATGGGTGCCTCCTCAGTAAAGAAATCCTGGTGCTGCCCTTGCTACACTGTCTGCTTGTTGAATTTTGCTTAGCACGTATAACTAGCCATGCGATACACACTCCCTCACAACCCACGATTTGCCTCACCTGAGGACACAAGGCTCTGAACAGACACAGCCTTTCCCAGAGGCAATGGCCCTGCTTGAACCTGGAGAAACGCAGGCTCCTGTGATGACTGCTGCCTGATGGCCATGCGGGCCTCCCAGGGAGTTCCATTGTGTAGCCAATGCATGAGAGCTCCATTCAGGCAGAAGTCATGTGCTTCCTCAAGAATATTAGGTGCCCAGGCCTCCAGCCACGTTCCACTGCAGCTGCTCAGCACTTTGCCCCTAGCACCAATGATGAGCATCTCCATGTCTGTCGAATAAGCAGAGGAGTGCTGATTCTTTGAATCATTAAACAATATCTCGCATCAATACCTAAGAGAAAGAGTCGTTCCCATCCAGTAGGACCCACCAGTAACTTCAATCATTATTAGTTTTGCCTACAACAGTGGTCAACACGAGTCTTCATTCAAGCAAAACAAGGTATGGCACTTAAAATGAAGTACACGGTTTTAAACGGCAGCCCAGAGTGAATAATCCATCTTATAGGATGTTCAAGCTGTGTATGCTTGCACAGATTTTTGTGTGTTTGCACAGATGCAGCTGCACTTGTTGCCCTTAGAATGGCAGTACTATGTGCCCAAAAGAGAAAACTAGCAACGAAAAAGCATGACAAATGCTAAACCAAGCTGCAAGCTTCAGTCGGTTAAGACAATTGGTGAGTACTACTAGGGGACAGTTGTTCTGCAGATAGAAGTCAGAATAGAAATGAACATTTTCTTAAAGCTGCGTCTGAGGTCTAGCGGGTAGGCTGCTGCAGAATAAGAAAGTCACTTGGCATTGGCAAACTACTCACCCGTTGTTCTCGAGATGTTCAGGCTGCCAGCAAGTGATGGCAGCCACTGGCTGACCCAAATCACAAACCAGACGGGCCCTACAAGATTCAGGAGAGCGGTCAGAACGTAACAGCATGGTTAGAACACGGCCATCTGGTAAACCCAGTAGCAGTACGCAGGGCCCTCGCTCCTCTGGGTCGGCTGACTGACTGGGGAGGTCACTCAGATTCAAACCGAGAAGTCGTGAGAGGTGCTTTGTCAAGAAGAGAGAGCTTCCGAGAGTCAAACAGTCATCCCTGAAATAGAAAATAGCACTCCCATTACAACAATCTCACTTTTTTTTCTGTAAACTAATGTTTGCAAATTAGTTCTGCTAGAAACCCACAAGGTGGCAGAAGGGTTAGAAAAAAGAAAGAATTCATCCTGGTCCCAGGCTCGAACCCCGAACCAGGACGAATTTTGCAGCAACTAAGAAGCTTTTCTTTCTGAGAAGTCCATACCAATTCCCTTGAGGCATCGTGCTACAAACAAGTGGTTGTCTTTTTTTCCCTTTCTTAACTATTATAGTTTGCCAAAAAGAGGTCGTAGGGCCAACGAATGTAAGGACAGGAAGGAGTGGTCTTGGAGAGTGACAACACCTATCATGCAAGAGACACTCTTCTGAGCTATAAGCGGTCATGATTCACATTAGTATAAATTTCTAATTGTAACAAGGCAAGATGAAATAAAAGCATCACTTTGCAACAGAAAAAAATGGATCTTTCTGTAAGCAGTAGCTATAAGTTTTCTAAAACTTCAATGTGCGAGAGCTGCACTTAGGCCTCCACTGAGATGACTGCCATAAGAAAGAATGACAGTCATCGTTTGTCTTTCAGAAATTGACTTTGAAAGTACAATATACTCAGTCTTCAATTTACACAGCCAGGTGCATTAGAATGCATATAAATCTGTGGTTTGTTGTAAAAGTAATGCTTGAGTAGACAGCAAAGGTAGATATTAAACCCTGCTGTTGTCATGAACAAAGTTTGGCTTCATATAATCGTTCTTAATCTCCTGCTAATACATATGCAAGTCCACGCAGAGCAGCTACAAGCAATGGCATAATGTTGTCACTAAGATGTGTACAACTACCAAGTGTGCCCCGCCACGGTGGTCTAGTGGCTAAGGTACTCGGCTGCTGACCCGCAGGTCGCGGGTTCGAATCCCGGCTGTGGCGGCTGCATTTCCGATGGAGGCGGAAATGTTGTAGGCCCGTGTACTCAGATTTGGGTGCACGTTAAAGAACCCCAGGTAGTCAAAATTTCCGGAGCCCTCCACTACGACGTCTCTCATAATCATATGGTGGTTTTGGGACGTTAAACCCCACAAATCAATCAACTACCAAGTGTGCGTCAACTTTTCCCTTTTACGTACTGACCTTGCATGATGTTCACTTGCCAAAAGTCTTGCACACCACAGCACCGGACTTGCATCTGGTGAATGCAAAAGATGCTGTATGCTGCACGAAATGCGGCATATGGGTGGTCCCTTGCCATTAAGAAGCAACTCCCAAGATCCTGGACACACGTTGTATGCAGCCACGAGGCCACCCCATGGAAGCCCACAAGCAGAGCTTGGTCCAAGCAGGAAACTCCTGGCACTAGGTCACACACAGAACAGAATCAGAAAGCATGCTCTTTAGCTTAGATAGTTTTATGTATGTAACTACAGCAAATGTGGCTACTACTTAAAGGGATTTCAATTTGTGTTCTGGCATATTTAGTCAAATGTGTTTCTGTTTTTGCACAAATTACAAGGCAGGGCCCTCATTATCATTGAAAAGGTTAGAAAAAATACTTCGCACTGCTTTCATCTCACTCAAGTCTTAAAAAAAAGAATTTGTCACTCCACAGAATTGGACACAACACTTCCATTGCAGCATTGTCTGCCTCATCCATGCAGCTAAAAAAAAAAAAAAACATTGTATGCAAATAGCTCCACCAGTGAAGAGGTAAGCTACCACAGCAACTAAACTAAAACATTAGCAACTAAAGACATGGGCAAAATGAACCAAGCATGCAAACTGTTTTCTTTGCTACAGCAGGCCGAATAATGTAACCTAATGAAATATGAGTAATAATGATGCTGCAACAAGTGCAATACCCAGTGAATACTTCAAAATGAAATCTGATAGCCTACAATGTTATCCATTGTTAATAGCCTATCACTTTTATCAGTTATTATCTGGGCAGCTAACAGCCTATCTTCTCACTTGCAACGAAGAGCCATGCCTAAAGCCCGCAGGCTGCACAATATGATTATGCCCTGTTTCTCAGTGAGAAGTGGAATAAAAAGTTTTGGTGCTCCATTTGAGGCTACTCGTGAATGAACAACCCATGATAACTCACTTCAACAATGTATGGATCTATCATTTTATATGTACCATTTTATCATTATCTTGTCATACTTATATCATAATTAGAATGTGGGTCACCAAATTTTGAGCCTGTGGTTCAAGACAAATCAGTAAGGTTTTATGACAGGTTTAGAACTTAACGAGAAAGCTTGCTATTCCTCGTGGATCATACTCAATCTACAAAGATGCTGCTATTGTTACTTTTATCGGAACTACTTTGCCAGCTAAGCTACTGCTTCATGGGGTGCATGCTTCCCATTTCTTTGAAGGCCCAAATGTCCTGATCTAATCGAATTTTTTTAGAAATGGTTTCTGTGATAATTTAGACAGCATTCATCCTGCAAATGTGTGGCTTCCTACAAAATCGTTTTTTATGCCTTAATAACACACTAGTAGCCAAATCGGGAGGTAAAAGAAAACTGGGCCACCACATGGTCAGATGGTATTTTTCAAGCCACTAGAAAATGCCTTGGTGAGCTTACAGGAGTACCAACACAAAGTGTTGAAGGCAAGGTAACTCCTAGCAGACCTTTCCCACTGAAAGAAGGGGCATACTTGTGCGGGAGTACAAAGGCCGACGTCCTTGCCTCGGCAATACATTATCTTGGGAGTCATGCTCAAAGGGGATTATAGCAGGAAACCCTTATTGAAAGAAGTTGCTCACGCGCATGTGGTTTTGCATGCTGCTATGCTAAAGTTGCTCATGTGCATGTGGTTTTGCGTGCTGCTATAGCCAGCTATGTTTACACAAAACCACACTGGGTTCTGCCTCACTGCGTACTCTTTCAAACAGAAACTGTGTATAAGCGATCAAACGAGCTTTATATTCGTTGTAAGTTGGTCAATTTGTTAGCTCCCTATATATAAAAAAAAATCCAAACTTTTTCTGTCAACGCTCCTACATAGAAGCCAACTTAAGTAGATATCAATGGCATACCGAAACTGGCGGCACACAATCACTTGTGACCTCACTAGCTGTCACAAATGGCTCGTATCTCACTGGCTCGCCGCTTTTAGTGACACGTTACTCGTGACCTGAATGGTACATAAAAATAGTCATTCCAGTATGTATTTTTAACTACCTGGAATAAAAGCCACATTTCAACAATGAATTCTTTGTAACCAAATCAAGACTGGAAAAATCGCATGGTAAAAGAAACTTGTTTTACTTACTTAGGACCAGAAACCTGCTAGTTCTGAAAATGTTGAGAGGATAGGTGGGTCATTCAAGGGCACTCGCACTCGTCACATGCAAAGTTTGTCAAAGCGACCAGTGTAGCATTGGCTCTATATGCTCTGCTCGTATGTACACAACATTCCACAAGGTAGACAAAAAAGGGTTTTCTATTTTGGTTGTCGATTCAAGAGGATCGTTACAAACACAGACCGTAAAATTCCAGGGGCACAGAGGGACAGGCATTCTTTTTATAATATAATAATGATGCCACATTGAGCAAGAAAAAAAAAGAATTGACCGAAAAATTGCAGCTGCTGCAGAAAATAAAACAAAGGCATGCAGCCAGAAACCTCGTCAAGCAGTCTGGGACTCTCTCCCCCCCCCTTCTTTTTCTACAGTCTTGCTGTCAGTAAATAACAGATGGAAAACAAACAATATGGATTTTAGCTTAAATGCCAGGTCATAAATCCTGAAATGGCTGGAACCTGTAATAAAAAAATCACAGCCCACTCCCCTATCCTCTCTTGTGCTGTACAGATGTTGCTTACGTAGAAAGGCTATTGTGTTGCTTTTCTAAAGGCAGAGTCCACATTTCATTTTGCTTTCTGTTCGAGCTGCAAGTTAACACAGGACATTTCGTTACCATGTCACGGTTTATTAGGACATTACTATTTTTTCAGCAGTTCTTCTCATTTTAAAATCTGCAAAAGGTCAGTAGGATTTTCCAACCAATATTTATTTTTCTTTTTTTTTAATTAACTGAGGGTATATCTTGTATCGTGAGAGTATTAATTTCAACAAGCAGTAGGTGTGCTTTTGCACACATACCTGTTATTCCTGCTGCAAATTTTTTTTTTTTTTCATTTGTCTTGTATTACTTTTGTTGCTGCCTTTCAATTTGTTTAGATGGCGGTGGCAGCCGGGAGAACTGTGTGCGGCTTTGTTGGAGCGGCTGTGACAAAAGGAACCCAACTACTAAGCATACCATGTCTTGACAAAGCGAGAAACACAATAGCTTTCAACTAAGAGAATCTGCTGGCTGCATTTTACTGAAGGTGAAAGCTTCCACTTCGTAAAGAACAAAGCAATGGTGAAAAACTGTGCCCCATAAAGTCCCTCGTTGATAAAGGAAAAGAAATCCTTACAGAAGATGGAGAGATACATGAAAGTCAGAAATATAAGAATGAAATCGACCTCGAACAAATTTTGCAAAAGAAATGAAGTTCTGGGCACAAGTAGCCATAAAAGCGTGGCATTTATACAATAACTTGCCAAGAATGATGATATAATCAATGTTATCTGGTGCTACACTGCGCACACATGTTTGGTTTTGTTACAAGCTAAAAATAGGGGTTCAGTATTAATAAAATGAAGGTGATGCCAGAATCTCAGTAAACTAACACCCAACTGAAGTCATAAATTTTTTCTGCAAGAGTAGGCTGACTTGTTTTATAGATGCAAAAGAAAATGCACAACTCCTGCACTCTTGACACAAGATTGAATTATGTTTACATCTGATTGAATTTATCCAACAAGGCCTGCTTGCACTTCTTTATATTGCTGAAAATAAAAATGAATACACGACCCAAGGATTTATCTATACAGTAGAGGACAGTACGTTACTGAGAAATACAAATTAAATATGCTTGTTTCATTTCCCAATTCTCGCATGTATGTGCATGTGCAGCTTTAGCGTATCAATTTGTTAGTCTCCTTGAAAATTAAGCAGGTGACATTACAGCAAATATTTAAATAGAAGTTTGTCCTTCAATAAACTAAGGCTTGTGATTTACGTAAGGGAAAGTACGTCAGAGTCTCATACATGCTGCGAAAAAATGCCGAATTACGTCAGCCCTCGCGCTATGTATAACGCGGAACAAAGAAAGCTAAACAGCGCCCAACGACCTTGGCGGCCGCACCTGCTCAGATGGAACACACTATGAGAGCTCCCATGTGAATTGGTACATGGAAGTAACAATAGAAAGTCACATGACAATCGTTTCAATGCCGCCCGGACTGCGCCTATCACCTCCTTCCACTTGACCTCTCACGCTGCTCCAGGTTAGCTTCACGTGTCATTTCCGTCTTTAATGACGCGTTTCCAGACTTTACGGAAACTGAGAAACTGCCTGCGCGGGTTAGCGTTTACCTCACGACAGCGACGCTACGTGGTGAAGTCGGCTTGCCGGAAATGTGCGACGCGCTGTAAAGCAGCCGAGTGGTTTCAGATTGGCCAGAGAGAACGAACGACAGCGTCAGAAATTTCAAACACGCGGAAACGTTTGATGCAATTGACGGACTGCGTTTTAATAAAAAAAAATGACAACGTCGCTAAGCGTCGTCCAGGCTTCGTACAACGCGCGGGCAGGCATTTCGTAACGTCAAGGTCAGTTAAATCGGCGCGTGAATCGAACATTTTTGTCGGACGTTAGACGATAAATAAATGTTTAACGAAGTATTTAGCGCATACACTACAGGTTGCAGGTGTAGTCCGCTCGGCCTAAGATCGGAACGAGGAAGTGGAAACCTTATTACCAGTGAGCGTTCTTTGTGAAGCCTCGTGCGAGACGGAAAACTTTACGAATTAAAATAAAGAAAAAAAACGGGGGGTGGGGATCGACGAGCGCTAGCCCATTCCACGAACACGTACATAAACGCGGCTAGCGTGCGCGGTACAGCCGCAGCCAGTGCTGCAATGTCAACACAGCCGGGGCGACCAATCCGGCGAGAGTTATTTCTTGCTCGGCTCTGCTGTGTCGCAATCGCTCCTCTGTTGCCGCGTCGGCTGGTCGAGAAACTCGGGCTGCCGCAGACTTACCTCACATCGCCCAGTGGTACGGTCCACACGCCTTGCGCAGTCAAGGCCAAGAAAGCGTCGTTCGCGGGGACGATTTCCCGCAGTCCAGACTTGCAATGCAGCACGTTCTGTGCGGGTCATATTTTTATGATGAGACAGCGCTCGTGGTAGTTCGAAAGTTGCGCAATAACTCGCGCAACAGGAGATTGTTCAAGCGTTAACCCGGAGCTGCTTAGGCAGAAGCGTGCTTTCAACGAAGCCAAGTAGCACGTACTTACTCACCTGAAACGTAAAGCGAGCACCCCAAACAGAGGTGGCACATTTTGCGAATCGCACCTTGTAAACGCTGACAACTGGTTGGTTCAGTCTGAAACGACAGACTATTAACTCCTCTCCCGACGGGAACGCGCGCAGTCGTTCACCGGGAGAGGTGCAAGCGAAACGGGCCAAATATAAGGACGTAGCTCTTGCGTCATCGGCTCCCGCACGTGCACGCAACCGCGCCGCCATTAGAGCGCCTCGATGGCGCTTAGACCATCCCAACCGCGCGGCAAAGCGCAAGGCCACCAATTGCGAAACTCGCACTCCACGCGGACACCTCGTGGCTCGCTCCGTTTTCGAAGAGCTACGCTTTCAATGGCGAACCGATAGTCAATCGCTTCACGGTTTATGCCGATTTAGTGAACGCGCGATAAGGTTGCAGATTAAACGGTACAGGCGAGACGTGGTTTCGCATGGCGCGTCTACGAAAAGAAAGCGGTGGACATTGCCGAAGGCTGGAATTTGCGCAACACGTGCGTAGTCATGACGACGCCGACGGGGAGTCGTCAAAATTACAGCGCAGTTGAAACAGGTTGCGGTAGGCCGTGCGAGCTTTCCTCGAGATTATGACGCGCGCGGCAACAGGTTGGCTCGTGCGACGTGGCGGCGATCGTGAATTCCACGCGCGCACCTGCAGCCTCGGCATGCGCGCAGCCTCATCGAGACGTTGTCACGGCGAGGCCGTGATCTCGGCCGACAGTTCGACGGCCCGTTGACAGCGGCCATGGACCGCGCGCGGTAGCAGCCTCTCCGATCGACGTCAGCGCTTTGCGTCATGCGCCCGCTCACCCACGCAGTCCCCGCGCTCAGGGTCGAGGAGGGCCGCACGAAGTGAGGGTGCGGCAGTGGCAACAAGGAGTACTTTTTATTTCAATGCTCTCTGGTCGAGTACAACAGCTAAAGGGCGTATGTACACAACGGGACGCAAGCTTAACGTCGTAGTAACAAGTGTTCCGCGCGTGGACGGACTGGCCGCTCACGAGGCACGGCTGGCGGCGTAAATATATAATATATACAACAAGGGGGGAACTATGTACACGGGGTTACTTGGCACGGGGACTAGAGTGTCAGTGGACCCAGGGCCTGGCATGCGTGTCGAAGTTGAAGTCCAGGTTTCCGTCCACGCTGAGCTCGTGTTGAATCACCTGGTCGACGTCGCAATGCAGACCTGGCACGGCGTCCAGGTGGTCGAGGTCCAGGTCGTTAGGAAGGTGGTCGTTGAACGTTAACAGACGACCCATCACCTGCGACGCCGACGGGCCCATCGGAAGCGGCGGCGCGGTGTCGTGCCGGTCTCCCAGGGTCATGGACTGGGTGAGCGTGTCGGCCAGCGGGCCGGCACCGTACCGGTCCACAGGCATCAGCTGCTGGGGCGGCCACGCAGACGGCGAGCCGGACAACGGCGCCAGCGGGCTGCAGTGCTGCAGGTCTAGCCGACTAGCTGGCGGTGACTCGGGGAACGGGTCCAAGGGGCCCTCCGACGAGGACGGACTCGGAGACGCGCGCAGAGCTTCCAGCTTCTTCTTGAGCCGCCCCCGCTTCTTCTCGTAGCGAGGAGTCTCCATAGAGGTAGCCCGGCGTCGTGCTGCCTTGCCAGGTTTCGCGTCCGGGTTCAGCATCCACCACGAGCTTTTGCCGGCGCCTTCGTTCTGTACTCGCATGAATCGGCTGTGCAGCGAGAGGTTGTGCCGGATCGAGTTCTGCGTGGGGACAACGACCCATGCTGGAGTCAGTCACGAGGGTTCGAACCCCCCAGCACGCACATGCAACGCACTCAATACCCCCCCCCCCCCCCCCCCGATCGCCAGGCCACCTCCCCCCTCCGTTCGGATGAGCACGCGCGCTGGCATAGCGCCCGAAGGCCGCGTCGCCATGCCAACGCGCGAACACGCGTGGGCCAAGGTCACCCCTTTGGGTCGAAGCCGGCGAGCCGTCACGTGCACGAAAGTCACGTGACATCGAAAACGCCCCGAAGGTCTCGGCAGGAGAGGCCTGGCGAGCGAGAGGGGCGGCGCGTGGAAAGAACCCCAGCGGCGGCCAAGTTGCGATCGGCGCAACAAGTCGTCATGGCCGTCGGGCCGCTAGCCCTAACGCCGGCCACGTCTTACCTTCCAGCCGGCGGAGCTGTTGCTGTCGCCCTTGTCCTTGAAATAGGGCACGTTCTGCACCATCCACTCGTAGATCTGCGACAGCGTGAGGCGTTTCTCGGGTGCGCTCTGGATGGCTTGCGTAATCAGGTCCGCGTAGGACATGTTGCCCCAGGCGTTGCGACGCGACGAATTCTTTTTCGGGGCGCCCGCCTCACCGAAGGGGCTCTCCTGCGTGCCCGCCTTCTCATCGCCGCCGTAATTTTCGGGCCGCGGTAGCGGCCAAGTGTTGGAGCGGGCACGCGTTTGCGGCTCGAAGCCCGGCTCGACATCAGCCAGCCGGTCCATGGCGCGTGTCAGCGATCAGGTCCGCCGTAATCCGAGATGATCCGCGCCGTAATCCATGGGGCACACTAGCCACCCGAAGGCAGCCGACCAAACGCGCACTATCGAGGTACGGGCACGAGTCCCCGACTGCCGGGCGGAGCCGCCGCCACCGCGGCTGCTGCGACGCGGCTACTGACGTCACACACGAGTCGCGCGCGCGCGGCCAGCTGGCGCCGCTCAGGCGGCACGCGCCGCAGACCGCACGCCCAAGGCCGCTCCGCTACTCGGCGCAGCGCACCGTTGGGCGAGGAGAACGCGTCAAGTGGTTGCTCGAGACTTGTGCGTTATTGGCATCATTCTCTATTTCCTCCAACGTTGCAAACATTCCCGCAAAATTGCGCATACAGCCTATTCACTGAACAATCGTGGTCACATCTTGCACATCTCGCGGTCACTGCAGTTCGAGCTGGCAAGCATGTGTCAAAGCTCCTTTATTGTGGTCAAACAGGCTAAAAATGGGCAATGAGAATGTCAACTTACACTGAAGGCATATAACAGCAAAAAGAATTAATATATATTTGTTTTTTTTTTCTCAGAGCCACAATTCGCGTGCGCACTTTTAGAAAGGGGGAACAAGGACAGAACACCCGCCACCTGAGTCACTCAAGTCAGTAACAGTCAATATCAGGATCTCGGGGCAAGGCTACAGAGGCCCCGCAGCTGCCGCTGCCTTGGCCACTGGGTCCTGCACGGCACACTGCTGCTGCTGTTGCTGCTGTTGTTGTTGCTGCTGCTGTTGCTGCTGCTGCTGCTGTTGAGCTGCGGCTTCACCCAGAAGGTTGCGAATGTTGAGCCCTGGCTCAAGGTGGCAACAGAAGGCCTTGCCACACGTCGGACAGCCCGGTATGCACAGGGGCACTCTCTGTTGCTGTTGCTGCTCCTCGGAGCAGCCAGGCTGCTGCTGCTGCTGAGGTGGCTGCTGTTGAGGTGCTTGCTGCTGCGGCGGCCCTATCTGCAGGAGCTGTGGAGCATGGGTACGGCTGTGGCGCTCCAGCTGCACCTTCTGGCGGAAAGTCTTGCCGCACGGCGAGCAGTTGAAGGGCCTCTCACCCGTGTGCGTCCGCATGTGGCTCTCCAGGTGGGCCTTCTGGTTGAAGGACTTGCCACACGACGAGCAGACAAACATGCGCTCGCCAGTGTGGGTCTTGATGTGGCGCTCAATGTGCTCCTTGCGAGTGAAAGTCTTGCCACAGGCCGAGCAGCTGAAAGGTCGCTCCCCGGTGTGGATGCGCACGTGGCTCTCCAGGTGCACCTTCTGGCTGAAGCGCTTGCCGCAGTGCGGGCAGCAGAAGGGCCGCTCCCCTGTGTGGATGCGCATGTGGCGCCCAATGTGTTCTTTGCGCCGGAATGCCTTGCCGCACACGGTGCAGCTGAATGGGCGTTCACCGGTGTGGATGCGCAAGTGGTTCTCAAGGTGGGCCTTCTGGCAGAAGGTCTTTGCGCACGTCGGGCACGTGTAGGGCCGTTCCTTGGGTTTAGCTAGCGGCTCTATAGTACGTGCTGTCGCGCTCCATGGTGTACGCTCGCTCACTGCCATGTGGCCAGCCATGTGCGTGTCCAGCTGGGCCTTCTGGCTGAACACGAGACCACAAAAGGAGCAGCTCCAAAGCAGCTGGGTGGCACCAGCAGGCTCGGTGTGGCAACTTCGAATGTGGCACTGCAGTGCGCTGACGTCCCCAAACGTCTCACCACACACGCCACAGCGTTGTGGAGAGGGCGGGGCCACCGTTGCCACGGTGACCACTCCTGGTGCTGGCTTGGGGGCCTCGAGGGGCTCGACCACCTCTTTCTTGTCGCAGACGGTGCAGTTGGAGCGGCCCTCAGCATGCAGGACCACGTGCTTGCAGAAGTCGTTGACGGAGGTGGTGGCAAAGGGGCAGAGTGGGCACCGGTGAGTGGTGGCTGCCGATGGGTCCACCATGGTGGCCGTGGCCGTCGTCGTGGCAATGGGTCCCTTGTGAAGACGCACCAGGGCCTTGGACTCCTTGGGTCCCTCTGCAAAAGGGGGAGGGACGCGCGTCAGGCGAGCCAGGGCGCCCCAGCCGAGGGAGCAGCGAGCGTGTTACTTGTGGGGCCGCGGTTAGTGGGGCTTGGCATGCAGGCGGGGGTCGGGGAGGGTGGGGAGGGGTATTTTTCCACTTTATGAGAGAGACGTAGAGAGGGCGCTTGGGTCTGTGTGCGTGTCTGCGTGGCAGGGGGGGCAGCACCCACCTGTGGGCGGGGCGTGGGTGCGCGCGTGGCGCTCCGCGTGCTCCCTCAGGCGGAAGGTGCGCTGGCACGTGGCGCAGCTAAAGGGGCGCTCTCCAGAATGTATGGTCAGGTGGTTGAGCAAGTGGGCCCGCTGGCCAAAGGGCTTGGCGCAGACAGAGCAGCAGAAGGGCCGTTCACCTGTGTGTGTCTTCATGTGGCGGCCGATGTGTTCCTTGCGCCGGAAGGCCTTGCCGCACACGTGGCAGCTGAAGGGCCGCTCGCCGGTGTGTATCCGCACGTGATTCTCTAAGTGTACCTTCTGACTAAACGACTTGCCGCACGTGGCGCAGCCGAAGTTACGCTCCCCCGTGTGCATCTTCAAGTGCCTCTCTACGTGCTCTTTGCGGCGGAATGCCTTGCCGCACGTGGGGCACACAAAGGGCCGCTTCTTGCCCCGGGGCCCCTCGGCGGTCGGGCAAGAGGACGACGAGCAAAGGGGGGGCTTACCCGGCCCGCCATAGCTAAACACCTCCGGTGGGGCGTGCGTGCGCATGTGCCCTTCCAAGTGCTCCTTATCGACGAATATCGCCCCACACACTGCACAGCTGAACAGCCGGCTGGCGTGGCTCTGCATGTGCTCGTCCAGCTCCTCCTTCAGAGCAAAAGCCTTGGCGCACACCCCGCAACCGTACAGGGTCACCGCCGTTTCCTTGCCGTCTGGGCACATGCCGCACGCCGCCGCCACCGCTGCTGCCGCCGCGGCTGCGGCGGCAGCCTGCTGCTGTTGCTGCTGCTGTTGTTGCTGCTGCTGCTGCGCAGCTGCCACTTGGTGGAGGGCCACGTGCTTGTTCATCTCGTCCATGTTGTCCGTGGCAAACGGGCACAGCGGGCAGCGTGGCTTCTCCTCTCCGCCTTCAGCCATGCCTGCAAAAAACCCACAATCAGACCTGAAACTCTTCCCCCTCCCCCCACAAGGCTGAATAGTGTTGAGCAAGTTCACGGCTAGCTACAATGCAAGCAATAAGAGGAATGCCGCTCTGTGCACTCCTATCTGTGGCTTTCATTGTGGCTGACCCTGCCAATGCTGACCCCATGGTGGCGGCATGCATGTCTGTGTGCTTGGGACAAATAAGAGGAGGACACTGACCGGTTGGTGATGGAGGTGGCTTTATTGCGCGCTTAGGTACAGGGTGGCACGAATGGTGGCGGGGCCGCTGCTGCTGCCGCCGTCGTTGGCTGGGGGGCGCACAGCGGTAGGAAGGGCGTCGTGGTCTTCTTGTGGCGATGCTGGGGCTGCTGCGTGGGCGGGCGGGCGTGCGTGCGCAGGTGGCGCTCGACGTGGGACTTCTGGCGGAAGGACTTGCCGCAGGCGGCGCAGTGGAAAGGGCGCTCACCTGTGTGCGTGCGCATGTGCCGGTGGATGTGCTCCTTCTGGCGGAAGGCCTTGCCGCAGGCGGCGCAGGCAAAAGGGCGCTCGCCCGTGTGGATGCGCACGTGGTTCTCCAGGTGGGCCTTCTGGGCAAACGCCTTGCCGCACGTCGGGCAGCAAAAGGGCCGCTCGCCCGTGTGCGTGCGCATGTGCCGCCCAATGTGCTCTTTGCGGCTGAAGCTCTTGCCGCAGACGGCGCATGCAAACGGCCGCTCGCCCGTGTGGATGCGCACGTGACGCGCCAGGTGCACCTTCTGCCGGAACGACTTGCCACACACGGCACAGGCAAAGGTGCGCTCGTCCGTGTGCGTCCGCATGTGCCGGTCAATGTGCTCCTTCCGGCCGAAGTGCTTGCCGCATGCGGAGCAGCCGAAGGGCCGCTCAGCCGGTGGGTGTGGGGTGCCAGCAGCAGCAACGGTGGTGGGGGGGTGGTGCTGCAGCGGGGCGGGGGGTGGCGGTCCCAGCAGCAGGCGCAGGCCCTCGGGGGGCCCCGGACAGGCCCGCAGGTGCGCCTCCAAGGCACCCCGCTGGGCAAAGGCCAGCCCGCACAGGCCACAGGCAGCGGCCCGCCCCGCCCCGCCGCAGTCGGGAGGGCAGAGCGGGCATCGGGTTGGGGGAACGCCTGCAGGTAACACAGCGGATAAGCGCCTCTAGAGCTCCTTGGCCGGGAAGAAGAGCGGCTTGGCCCCCTTGGGCGGCTGGTGGGTGCGTGCGTGGCGGTCGACGTGCGACTTCTGGCGGAAGGCCTTCCCGCACGTAGGGCAGGCAAAGGGCCGCTCGCCCGTGTGGGTGCGCATGTGCCGCTTGATGTACTCTTTCTGGCGAAATGCTTTGCCACAAGCAGAACACCGGAAAGGGCGCTCTCCCGTGTGGATGCGCACATGGTTCTCCAGGTGCACCTTCTGGGAGAAGGCCTTGCCGCAGGCCGTGCACAGGAAGGCCCGCTCCCCCGTGTGGATGCGCACGTGCCGCTCTATATGCTCCTTGCGACCAAACGCCTTGCCGCACGTGCTGCACACAAAGGGTCGCTCGCCCGTGTGGATGCGCACGTGGCTCTCCAGGTGCACCTTCTGGCTGAACCTCTTGCTACAGGTAAAACAGCAAAAAGGCCGCTCCCCCGTGTGGGTGCGCATGTGCCGCCCAATGTGCTCCTTCCGGCTGAAGCTCTTGCCGCACACAGAGCAGGCAAAGGGTCGCTCGCCCGTGTGGATGCGCACGTGGTTCTCCAGGTGGACCTTCTGGGCAAACGCCTTGCCGCACGTGGCGCAGCCAAACGGTCGCTCCCGGCCCTCGCGTGCCGCCCCCCGGCCGCCCCGACCCCCCGCTGCCGCCGTGGTCGTAGTAGTCGCCGCGCCGGTGGCCAGGACCCAGCCTCCGTGGCAGGCCCGCTGATGGGCCTCCAGCTGGGCCCGCTGTGGAAAGGCCGCCCCGCACGCCTGGCACGCCGCCACATGCGCACGCAGATGGCCCTGCAGGCCTCCACTGTCGGCGAAGGCCTCCCCGCACACGCAGCAGCTCAGCTTGCCCGTCGCCGCAGCCTCCGCCTTGGCCCCCAACAACTTGTCGCACATGGAGCAGTTGCCGCGGGCGTCCGTGTGCACGCACATGTGCTTGCAGAAGTCAGCCACCGACTCGGTGGCGAATGGGCACAGTGGGCAGCGGTGGCAGCTGCTGGGGCCGGCCTCCGCCATGCGCCCTGCAAGGCAAGCTCCCTTCACCAGGGGCGCCGGCGCCCGCCCTGGTGCGGTCGTGGTGTGCCTGCCTCCGCCAACCAACCAAGGAGAAGAAGGCGGCCGGTGTCGCCGGCGGACACATAACGCGCGCTGCTCCACCGCCACACGACAAAAACCAAGGAGGGAAAAGAAAACGTAACAAACAAGGATGGGGGGGATAGCTTTCTCTTTCTTTCTCGATTTCATCACGCGGGTGTCTCGCGATCGTCTGCTTGTGTGTGTGCGCATGCGGCCCACCCGAGGCAACCTCGCACCACCACCATCACCAAGGCACGCCACCACGGGCCACAAGGGAACCAAGCCCGCTCGGCGGGACACTTACCGGGTGTCGACGTGTCCGCTGCCTGGTGCTCCACGGCCACGGCCTCAGCAGTCCCCACCGAGCCGACGGTGCTGGTCACGGGTACCCTGCAGACAGTTTAGTTGCACGCTCAGGTACGGGACGCCAGACGCGATCACACGGAAAGACCTACCCGGAGCCGCCGTTCAACGACAGGCCTGCGATGGACGAGCCTTCTACCAGACGCTGCGTCGGCACCCTCAAAGCAAGACCTGCATACATCGAGGCGTTCATCGGTCAACAAAATCACAGAACGCGCCACAAACGACGGAGAGATCACATCGCGTACTGGAACACACATCGGCAGCGGACGGTGTGCGCGACGCGCGACCGCCATTGGCGCCGACGGCATCACGTGACCACCTAGCGGTCCAATCAGAAGCGCAGCCGACGGGAACAAAGTGAGGGAGAAGCTTCCATTGCCCGATCCCTCCCTGTCAAAGAGGCCGCTTCTTGTCAGATTCCGCGATCGAGCATTTCGCCAGCGCCGGAGTCACTACAGTGTTCAATAACCTTCGAAATAAAACCGGAATGTCACGAAAACAACAGCGCAACACATCTTCCGCGAGCTAACCGCACGCAACAACAGCGCACACTGGCTGCCCGCGATAACTATAGACTCTCAAATTGGGTCAACAATTACGGCCTGTACAATGTGGCAGCCAGCGCAGAATAACCGGCCGCTCATACGAACGCCATGCTCAACGGTTTTTCCTTGTAGTCTGCTGGCGCATTAGGACACTCACGTCAGAGTAGAAGCGGCGGGGGAGTATATGAGGCTCGTGCCGTGGCGCTGGAGCCAAGTTCGCAACGTAGGCCGGGCAAGGCTAGGCCAACCCAGAGTCGGCTCACCTCTAGCGATTTCTATCCAAACTCTTCCGTCGGCGGCGCGACATGAAGGAAACAAGTGGGCCGCTGCGGCCCATGGCAGACCCGAGCCGGCGGGCCGCAGCAGCGGTCGAGCCGCGGCCCGGTGGCACGCGTGGAGAGAGAAATAACATCAGTGACGCGCTTTCTTGCGAGGGAAGCGTTCATTGTGTCGGCGGCCCTCACTCACCGCCTCCATCGCACAGCACAGCTCGGCAAACGGGAAACAACAAACGGAGGAAAAAACACTTGGTGCACTCACTCATCGAGTTCGTAACCATCTTCTGGATTCATAACGAATCCCTGGACTTCTCGCCGTGGTTAACAACTTGCCGACGCGTCGAAACTTGCTGGAGAAGCGAAAGAAAAAGGCCTAATTGTCTCCCTCGCCCAACTTCAATGGCAACTTGGGGAAGCGTAGCCTCGCCCCAGACAATCCAAAATGTCCTCTCTCGCCGACCCCGCGGGGATTTCGCGGGGAGGGAGACCTAGCCTCGAACCAGACGAGCTTTCGCGAGAACTACTCGCCATTCAACATGGCGGCGTCCGTGTTGTCCGCGGTTTCTATTTCGCAGCGGGCGCCTGCTTTTCTACCCTGTGTACGGCGTAGCGCTCCAAGGCCAGTGGCGGCACTCTTCGCTCTCGAGTCAAAAGTTCGCTTCTATAGTGGTGACCGCTCGCCTTCCGGAAACCGTGAGTGCAGTGAATTACTTTTGTGCCTTTCGAAACCGCTGTATACTCTACACGCAGGTCTCACGGAGCGGCAAGCCAATGCGTACGATAAGTGGATCCTGGCTATTTACAAGAAGTATCCGAAGGGTCAGGTTCCAGACCTGGTTCCGTAAGATTATTTTTGATTTTTTGTTTTTACTGTTTTTAATTCACGTGTCATGCGTTTAAACTGTTCAATATAACTAGTGGTTCGTGTGAATTTTTATATATTTTTTTACATTTGTTGTTACTTCTCATGCATCTATTTGTTGCGTTTTCTTTTTTTGCCCTGTATAATCCCACTCCTGCAATAGCCCTTTTACGGGGCTGCAGGTATATAAAATAAGTAAATAAAAGACCGGTAGCACGCTTTCGGTTTCTAGTTCTCGTTTTATTTATGCGGATGTTCCTTCATTTCGCAGGGTTGCGGTCATCGAGAAGACGCGCAACAAGGCGCGCATCCATCTGAACCTGATCCTGGGTGCGTTTACGCTCATAGGTGCCTTTGCGGCTGCTACTTTGGGACGCCGGCGACGCGAGCAGGGAGAAAGCCTTACCCAGATGAACCTGGACTGGCACGAAAAGCAGAAAGGCTCGTAACTGGCAGGGAAATAGTTTTTATTTTCTCCTCCTCCCCGAGGCTCTATGTACACAGGGGTGGCGGTGCCCCGGGCAAATAAATACAGTTCGTTCTTCTTCCAACTTCTCTTATGTACAATGCAAGCAGCGCGGCGGACTAGCGTCGGGGCGGCGGACCCCGTCAGAAGCGGTAGTCGGCGCCCTCCGCAGCGGGGGCAGGGCCGAACTGGAACTGGCCGCCCTGCGCGGACGGCGCGATGCGCGAGTCCTCCTCCTCGGTGCCGAAGTAGTGTTCGATCATCTCGAACGCCTTCTGGTAGATGTCGGCATTCTCGTGCGACTGCAGGAACTCGATCTTGTCCAGGCCAAAGCACTCCTCCACGAGCACGGCGTACGGGTTGAGCCGCCCCTGCTGCGCGTCCTGGGCGCCGAGCCGCAGGATGTTGTCCAGTCCGTTCAGCGCCACCTGCACCACTTTCGGGTCGGCCGCGGTGAGCAGGTCGCACAGAGGCGCCACGCACTCCTGCTGGACAAGGAAGCGCACCTGGTCCGGAGAGCCGCCCGAAGTGGCGTTGGTGATGGCCCACGCGGCCTCCTTCTTGGTCTTCAGCTCGGCTCGAGCCAGCACGTCCACCAGCACGGGAAAGATGTTGGCGTCGATGACGGCCTGTATCTGCTGCCGGTTGCCGGCCGTGATGTTGGAGAGTGTCCAGCACGCCTCCTTGCGTATGGACTCCTTGGGGGACGAGAGCAGGTGCAGCAGGCAGGGCAGGGCGTTACTGTTGAGCACCACTTGAGTCTGCGCGTCGTCTCCCGTGACGATGTTGCCGACGGCCCGCAGCGCTGCCGACACTACGCCCTGGCTGGCGTGCATCAGGAGTTCCACGAGCCGCCTGCAAACGCCCGCGTCGATCACCGCCTGTATCTTGTCGTTGGGACCAGTCGGAGAGGTAGGACAGCGCCCAACACGCGTCGGCCAGCACGTCGAAGTCGTTGACGTAGAGCAGGCGCGCCAAGAGAGGCAAGCACGGCTGCACCTGCTCGAACCGTGGCGGCGGGTTCTTTCCCCGGCACAAGTTGGAGAGCGCCCACACGGCGTTACGCGTCATCGACGTGCGCGTGGACTTGCTGATGAGATGCAGCAGCGGCATCAGGATGCCCTGATCGAGCACGTAGTCGCGGCACTCTGGCGAGTCGCCGGCGATGTTGCCCAACGCCCAGACGGCCTGCTCCTGCACGTCTTCGAACTCCGAGCCCAGGAGGCGCACGAACACGGGCACTGCGCCGGCTTCGACGACGCGCCGCGTCTGCAGCGACGTGCCGGAAGCGATGTTAGTCAGGGCCCAGGCTGCCTCGAACTGCAGGGTGCAGTGGTCGTCGCGCTGCAGGAACTCGACGAACCTCGGCACAATGCCTGTCTCGATGACCTCGTCGATGGGCGGGTTCGGCTCGCGCGACAGGAGTTTGCGGAAGCGCTGAGTGGCCTGCAGCTGAAGCTCGGGAACGTCGGCGTACAGCTGGGCCACCATCTCGGCCGTGACTCCTGCTCGCTCGGGTCCCGAGCCGCCATCTCCGTCCGATTCCGGGGCACCGAGGTTGCGTCCTTTTGCACAGCTCACTCTCGCGCTTCAGCTTACGCAGCTGCACACCCTCTTCTTCCCTCCGCCGCCTCAGCTCTTGGGCGTCCAGTCCAGCGTTCTTGTAGCGCAGTCGGTGGCTGTTGCCGCTCCCTGCGTTGCCGCCGCTCGCCATCGTCGGGACCTGCACGAAACCAGTCGAACCTATAAGAGACTCTGCGTAGGCTTAGCGCCCAACCGCGAGACGGGCTCCGGGATCGGCGATTGACTGGCACTCGCGCCGCGATCTCAGCCGCGAATACGAGCCTACGACTGCGGTCACCCCTTCGTACCTCTGTACTCGTTCTCAAATAACCCGATGTCTCCGCCGGTGTCGCCGCTAGGCCTTCAGAAAGTCTCCGTCGCATGCTAGCTCTGCCACTCTGACAACGGCAGCTACGGAACAACGCGAACCACGCTACACCAACTCGCAAAGGTGTTGGCTCGCGGATTAGACATAGCGGTAAGTTACCCGAACAAGAAATCGATAGGTTTTCTTCAGAAACCACGAATGTGCAACACCGCATACCTTTATAATTTCCAGCACAACGCAGAAGATTCCTTCGAGCACCCACAATCTGAGCGCGTTGCATTGTGGGTGCGCCTATCTCCGTATCTCTATCATTATTGCTGTAATTGTGACACTGCTAATAAAACTAAAAAAATGACAATTTCAATTTATGTACGCTGATCCTACTAAATGTTACGAGCGATACTTATTATACCGGTAGAATAACACAAATGTATATTTAATGTACGACCGTGCGGCTAAAGCAGGTGCCCGATAAGCTTGTATGAACATGGCGGCCTCCTCATCAGCCGGCGAGTCTGCTGTCCCATGTGACGATTTCATGGCATTCCAGGTATTGTTAAAAAGCTGTAGCAGCCACGTTTGTTGCATGTTTTCTAATGCGCAATTACCACTTATTTGCAGGAAGTGCTACGCAAGTTTCGTCGTGTAGACGACACGATTATATATTCCTTAAACACAGCTTTGCCGACCGAGTCATTTGCCGCCGAGTGCGACCCCTCCGCGCTGTGCCAAAAGTTGTACAAAGAGCTGTTGAACGCTTACGTTCAAGCGGGACAAGGCTATTAAGGGATGCCTGCAGCAGTCGAAAGACAAGCTGGACCATCTTCAAGAGCTACGCGCGGCAAAAGGTGACGATCCGGCCACATTAAAGGAACTACGGAAAGAGCAATCCAAGGTTGGTGCCTGCTCGAGCTCGAGGCCGCGCTGCTTATGAACGCGCACTTCTCTTGCGCCTTTCAGATTCGTTTGCTTCGGAACGAGCTGAACGTCGAAGAAGTTGTCAAGGACCGTAGTTTTAAGGTGGGTGGAGCATGTGACCCAGCAATGGGGGAAAAAATATATCACTGAACATTAGTTCTTAGATATTTTCTGTATTGTCGCCAATGACTTATCGGTGCACGTTCAAACACTAGTGCGACGTTAACTGAAGTGCGTTATGACTTTATAAAAGCGCGAAAAAAGCGATCTACGTGGCTGCAGGCAAGGATACATGGAAAGATTAGTCTCGTAGAAATATATATATAAATATTTACTGTGAATGTGAGCAGATTATTCATAGGTACTTACGTCTCTGAATTGCAATCTAAAACAAGCACCGCGTGTGGTCTGCCGTATCAAGTAAACACTTGCAAATGACTTCGACCATAAAATAGCCACCTGTTGAACACATCCAGACACAAGTTTCAGTTCTTGCAGTACAAGCAAAGTGCACGTAGTAAAGTAGTGCTGTGGTCAAATTCTTCGGCTATTCCAAGAAAATTTCCCGATGTAGCATTGCCTCTACAGTTTTCATGAGACTCCACAGATAGAGCTTCTCATCACGTTTAAGATCGATTTGTCAGCGGAAAAAAGCACACACACAGCACTCTCGTCATGCTTGTATGCAAACATTGTGCATCAGTGACGTTAGTTCACTATGTTGTCAAACTCGTTTTGTTCAACTTTTCAATGATTACTTCCCATTGCTGCTTTGAATGGTGTGCCAATTGTGCTCGCGAGGGTCCCGTTTGTGCAGGTTTTCTATTTGTTAGCACTCTAAGATGGCAACCACATGACACCAGTGAACGCTGTACAACCTAATACCATGTTACAATGCTGTCTGTGCAGGCGTTTCACGACCGGTGCCGGCTCTTCTACAGCCCACCAGAAGTTTGATACAAAGAAATGCCAGGTGCCCCCAGCTACTGCTACCACCGCTTTGTTTTGTAGATAAACCAGCAACACGAATTCTTTTTAAATCTTCCAGGCAGACTTGTGGCATCTTTATTCTTGCAGTGTGTCAGCACGACAGTAAAAGAGCAGGTAAGCCTGGCTGGCCAGCACCTTCTGTTGCGTTGCGGGCACCACTCTACTGTCGCTGGCGTGAAACCAGCTGCCGCCGGCACCACGCACGTAGGCAGTGTAGTGGCCGCCCGTCATCCTGCCAGCATGTTCCACAACTCCGTAGAGAATGTAGGTCGCTGGTGCCTTCATCTGGAAAGATGGCCGACAGAAGGTGGAACAATTAGTCAACACCTGACATAGCAGTTACAGAATAAATTTTGAACAATGTGCGATTTGCTCTCATGGAATACTTTGCAGCCTCTCTCAATGGAAGCCACTAAATGGTCTCCAGCAATTAGCACTGAACATTGCACTATCCACACAAATGCAAACCGTGCACAGGATCTGCCCAGTCTTTCCTCGTACAGCCTGTGTTCTTATGCACAATCATGCGAGTTGAATCCATTCCATCAGCTGACTTTTTCTATATTAACACATAATTTTTCTATATTAACACATGTCAGTAATTACGAGGAACCAGACATGCAAGAAGTGGTTATCATGATTGAGTTCACTTTTACTGACCATGCATATGAACTGCTTTGAAGTTCAGCTTGGATTGTGTAACACCACATATTGTACATATCTGTGCCATTTATGATAGCATCATATTGCATTTAAATGAAAGAATACTGCAACATAAATCTTCAATGTGACAGCTATAGACCTCAGCAGCTAGTGAAGTTTTGATTTAGTGCACTGTCAACAGCAAAAGTTTGCAGGATGTGCAGCGCGTGGCAGATTGGCTGGAAAACTGCATTGCTGCGCTGCCTACTGTGCCGCGGTGTGGTGTTGAGGCTACCGCATGCAGCCTTGGTGATTAGCGACGGTGTGTTTACACCAGGTGCGTAGCCAGAATTTTTTTTGGGGGGGGGGGGGGGGGGCACAACTTGCAAATTTTGCTGTTGATGGCACACATTTGAACACGGACCGTGTTCCTTTTTATATTGGTACAAATTGCAGGTACCAATATGATAAAGATGAATGTGTGCAATGACTGGGCACTTTTGCATGCATAACATGACAACATGGGAGAAATGCAGTGGTGAACACATGTTTGTGTTGTCCTATGAAGATCGTCTCCTGACAGCCGCTCTTATGCTAGGTAGTACAATGCTTGAGGAAATATGCTCGTATCCTGCACGTTTTCTTTCATGAAACAAGAGAGGTGTTTGGCTCTGTCTGTCTCTCTCTCTCTCTCTCTCTCTGTGTGCGTGTGTGTTATCAAACAGTTTCACAAGCAAAAGTTTCTGTCTCACTACAAGAGTGAACTGAATTCACAAGCACGGGCCAAGTGTCCAAAAAGCTTTATTCAATACATGCAGCTACGGAAAGTTGCAGGCAACAAAGGTAGGATCGTTTTTCACCTCCAATATAATTAAACCTCTCACGAAAACACTTCGGCAATGCAACAAGAACATTTGGATTACTTTTGGCTATTCCGCATTATTTGTGGCACAGCAGCCAGCACTAGCAAACAAAAAAAAATTGTGAAAATGCCACACCAAGACCTTCGAAAAAACCGAGTAGCGCCAAGGAAAAGGGCATCACGTGGCAATCATGATAAATAATATATAGTACCCAAAATGCACTGTGCACATGTTCAGGGGGCGCGAGCATGGAGGATAGAAGGAATAGTGGGGAGGCAAGTGCCAGAAAAGGTTCCCTAGCTGAGGCTAGTCAATAACACCACCACACCATGCTTTTCTTCCCTTCTGTCACCCTTGGCAACTACCATAGCACCTGCTGAGCCAACCTTTATAGCAAATAGCAGCCTTCATAAAACCATAACCGTTTCGATCAAATCAAAAAGACTGTTTCAGCCACGTTCTGGGGCGCAGGGCTTGACAGCTGTTGCACCTTGTGGCAAAATTGGGGTGCTTTGGCGCAGTACGGCGCTGTTAAGAGTTTGGTGCAAAAGGGGTGATTCGGTGCATGATGGCACATGTAAAGGAGTATGGTGCCAGTGGCACAGCTATTCCCGCCCTGGAAATGAAATGTGCACAGTTGCACAGCCACTGTAGCACCAAAGTAAATGTCTTCATAAATTTCATGTTGAACCGAGATGCCCGAGAGCAATTGTTGATCCTGTCAGAAAACAGTTTATCAAGGGGCCCAATCAAACACTACTAATGGGTGCATCGGAGAATTTTGCGGAAATGGCTGCATGAACTGTGTGTTATTGATGGTGGTAATAATGTCCTTGCCCTTCCAAATGGGCAATCTACAGGCATAGGTCTGATCAGACCTATAAGGACTAAATAAAAACCAAGACCAAGTTCTGCAAAAAAACAAACTTTTTTTAAAGGCCCAGTGTTGCATACTAAATGACCATCTTCTTCAAAGTGATTTAACGTGCAACAAAGGACTTTGTGTTTAAGTATGGCTTCAATGCTAGTCCAAAATAGAACATTAGGACTCTTTAATCCTGATGCAAATTTATTCCATTGAGATTCTTATTAATCACAAAATAACATAGTGTTGGTTAAAGCAAAAAGCTGCAGCTTGCGAGGGTTTCAAACAATCATGCATTCGTCCACTGAACACATTTCATCAGACTAGGAAGGAAAAAAAAAAAAGAAAGCTTCATGCTCACCTCTACGTCTCTGCAACAAAACGGTGTCAGGTCAAGTTCCATGGGAAACGGCACGTGCTTCTGCACCTTCCGCAATGTGGCACCCTGCTGGAAGCGCTTGAGGTGCAGCGTCAGAACTCTAGGAGCCTCGAACACACGCAGCTGCAGGCTTGCTGCTGCACGTGCCGACTTGCAGCCCTCGCAGCGTAGACCGTTGGCCCCTGTGCAATGTACAAGGCACGCATGCACCTCAGTTTCCAAGAACGCCGAAGCAGAAGGTCAACCTGTGCCTCAGATTTTATGCAACTTACACATCTTGAATTCTGCCCCCATCAGAATGTCTGATTATTGCGGAGACAAATAAAATGTGAAGCTTGTGCTCGGTAAATAATGTCGCAGCCAATATGACAATGTAGCAAGAGAAATGAGTCTTGTAAAAACTAAGAGAGATCTGACTGTCCTTCTCCAGACGTCACAGATACATAGATGAAGTAAACAAAAATCAAGCTCCCGCTTATTTCACAGTCCCTCGACTTTGTAGTACAGTAAAACTTCATCATAATGAAGTTGCATTTGACGCGAAGGTGAAATTGTTATACTGATGTTCAAGTGTATATTCATGCTTTCGTAACCTACCAGCAAGCAGTTCTGGTGCTGTGAAGCTTCGCAAGCAGGCCTCCAACGATCCCTCGGCTGGGCCCTTGGTGGCTGCTGGCTCGTGCAGGTGGAGGTTTGACATCTGTGCCGTCAGCTGTTCCTCGCCAGGTGACCCACCGTTGTCTTCCTCGTCGGCCTCCGTTGGGTCAATGCCTCCCCCGCTCAAGGCCTCTCGATTGGGGGTCTTGGCCACTGCGCTGCTACCTGCCCTCCAGGCTTTCCTGCGAGCCCCTCTAGCTACGCGGTGTGCTATGTGCGCCCGAACTTCCCCGGGGTGGCTTCTCCTCGGGGATGGGCAAGGACAGGTCCTGGAAAGGTTCTTCCCTGTGAGACACCTGCAAAGTGAACCGAAAGTGTGGTGCCTTAGTAAGATTACGATGGCATTCCTTGTCTATATAATAGATGAGTGTGACTAAGCTCACAGAAGGCATAAGGCCTCTTCATTTTCACTAATCGACCCGGTTCTGTGCGTGCTGTGGTCCCTATGAGAAACGAAGAAAGGAGACCCTGACCCGATCGTCTGGCTACTTCGAAGGTCAAAGAAACAACTAAGCAAGCCGGCGCCCCATGGCTCGTGCTCGAGCCTGCCACCACTTCTTCCTCCTTTATTTGCAACACACTCCCGCAGCCGCCAAACTCGCTGCAATGTTCAGGTGCAAAGCTGCAGAAGTTGAAAATGTGGGGTTGTTAGATGGCGTCGATGGAGCACTTTGGAGATACGGTGACGCTTAGGGAGGCAGTGGCTTGTCTTGCAGGGGAAGTCATCCAAGCTCGCTATGATGTCCATTAAACTTGGTCACGTTAGCTATCTTCATGTCAAACTGGGGACCTTGGCACTTCTTGCATCGCTTGTAGTAAAAAGAGTCTGATCTTGGCCTACTTCCGAGAACTCGGGAGGTTTCCCGATAACTTGCGCACTGCTTGGGAGTGATGTTTATCCTCTGCTCCTGATGTCGTATCTGATGCTTCTGTAGGTGCTGCGCGGTCATTTGCTGCTCATATACTTGAGTGGTCACGTAGTCGTGAGGCCCGTCCAAAGCGAAGTCACAGCCTGGGGCGATGAAGATGCGAGAGAAGCTGTGAGGGTGGTCGACGGTGAAGTCGCGGCTTGGTAAGCGAGAGGAGTCAAGAAGCCAGTCGAAGGCGGAGTTGCGGTCTGCTCCGACGTTGAGGCGAGAGGGTTCAGGAGGCCAATCGAATGCGAAATCACGGCCTGCAATGTGGATGCGAGAGGGGCCGAGAGGCTGGTCAAAAGCGAAGCGGCGGCCCATTGCTACATCGATGTCAGAGGGGTCGAGATGCCAGTCGAAGGCGAAGTTGCGGCCTGCTCCAACGTTGAAGCGAGAAGAGTTGAGAGGCCGCACGAAGACAAAATTGCTGCCTGCTTTGATGTCAATTGATTCATTGATATGTGGAGTTTAACGTCCCAAAACCAGCTTCCACGTCGAGGCGAGAGGGGTCGAAAAGCTGATCGACGACGAAGTTGCAGCCTGCTTCGACGTCGAGGAGAGAGGTCAAAATGCTGACCGAAGACGACGTCTCGGCGGGCGACGATGTGTAGGCGAGAAGCTTACCGAGTTGGGTGGATGTGACTGCGACAGATATGGGCGCGGTTCGGGATCGCGGTTTGACTGCGTGACGAAGTTTTGCTTTGGCGCAGATGACTCTATCCTCGAACTCGCTGGCTGTGGTTAGCTCCGCTAACAACTCCTCGAAATGAAGCGCAGCCTGGATGTCCTTGTTCAAGTCCATGAGTTTGGCGTCCTTTGCGACGATGAGTGCGAATACATCTTCGAGCTTCTCTATAGGTGTTGATGAATCTTCCAGCAGAGCATCAAGCGTTAAGAGGTGTTGCGTGATGGCTTTTCGGACGAAGCGGCGCGTGGTGATGAGTTGATCCATGGGCGAGAGTCAAGGTCCAGACGACCGGGTGGATTTCGGCACCAGAACGAAGTGTGCGAAACGAAGAAAGGAGACCTGGACCCAATCGTCTGGCTACGCCGAAGGTCCAAGGAACAACTGAGCAAGCCAGTGCCCTTTGGCTTGTGCCGGCCACCCCTTCTTTTTCCTTTATTTGCAACAGTCACATCATCCTTCGCAAACTTCTTAATCTCATCTGCCGACCTAATTTTCTGCCCCACCTCATGAGCTCTGCTTCTCATAGAATTCATTCTGTTACTCTTAATGACCAGCGGTTATCTTCCCTCTGCGATGCATGCTCTGACCATGCTCATTTCTTTTTTCAGGTCCAGAAAAATAAGCACATGCAGATCAAAGATGAACGCCAGTTGACATATGTAGTCTTGAAGACTACTTTTCGATTCTCATTCATAAGCACATCACTTCTGGTTAACAAGAGCAGAGCAATCTTAATTCACACTAAACTGGAAATTCTAATTGGGGAACTATTGTCGTTAGTCAAATGATCAGACACTTTATTAGAAGTTTGACCATTCTAGAACACTGCCAGTTTCTCTCTTCTCATTTTCAACACCAACAACCCAGTCAATGTGATACTCCAATCTTCACTTTCATTTTTATATTTTGGCCATGATGGCTGAATAAAAGTCACTAGAACTTGCTATAGTGTCAGACTTCCTTGGCACAACCCATAATATTTACCAGTAGAGAATAATATACACCAAAGAACATGTCAAAATCCAAGACATATGTCATTGTAGGGAACATCAAGGCGCATTGCTAACAGTCTTCTTTTCGAGCCTTTTTAGGCTTCGCAAGTCTTTTTGCCACAAAATTGGTCTTACTGATATTGCATGAGAACATTTAGCTGAAATCATTTTTTTAAAGCATGTGCGAATATTCAAACTCGCTTGGACACAAATTTGGATTACTTGAAATTTCGAAGAATTCGAAATGAACGAGTATGGATACAATAAACCGCTTGTAACTCCCCAGTAAAGACTGTACACTGCAGCGTAAAGTGTTATGCTGCAAAAACACCTTTCCAGAAAAAAAAATACGCACTGCCACAAAGTTCCTCCTTCAAGGTTAAATCAACACACGTATTACCCTTACATCACTTCTTCATTTATTGAGTTTCAAGCTTGTTATTCGGGCTTAATGACCGAAGTATAGTAAATAAAACAACGTAATGTATTTTACTGGTCAGCATTCGCACAGCCGCTTGATAAAAAAGAAGGTGCGGCCAGTTGCGTCACATCACTATCAGTGGGCGAGCGTGTCGCCGCTGAGTTGACAGTTGTGGCCGCTTTTTTTGTTCAGAGCACTCAAACTCCACCGATCAAAGCGGACGACACTTACTGGTACTATTCCTTACATACATTTAATTAAAAAACAAAAACTTACTGGTACAATGTGATTGCGTGAAGATTTGTGCGCACCTGTGTGCTTTCTCGTGATTTTTCGTATGTGATTGTGTGTGGGGGGTAGCTTGCCTCATGTTTTCTGTGCTTGAGTACTATTCTTTGGTGCGCGCATGTGTGGCAGATAGCTTTTTTAGTGATGTGATGCCGCGAAGCTGTTGTGTGCCACTGAGCAGCTCGAATGCGAAAAAAGACACTACTGTGAACTATAACGTATTCCCCTGCAATCTACAGTGCCGAGAAGCTTAACAGGATGAGTATTATTATTATTTGTAACAGAGCACTTATTTTTGTCACAAACGAGCGCTAAATTGGACGCGCGCCGCCACCTCCAGAAGAAGGCATCAAATCACCGTGCCAACCGCTGCCTTCACGGGCGTGCACAACGAAACAAGAAAAGTATATCAAGAGGCTCTCAGGGCACGCCCTTTCTCTCTACACACACGACCGCCCGCGCAGATCGAGAAAAATCAAGACATCAAAGCGGGGCCTCTTTTGGAGGCGACCATTTTCGCATACGAACTGGCGAGATGAAACCCTTTCCCCTGGCTGTCACCGTGGTACGTGCTGCACGCCATACAATTTCTTAAAACGTTCACAAAACAGGGACAGATCTAAACTAGATAGAACAGGTAGTGAACTCGGCCAAGAAGTTATATTGTTCGAGCGATTCCTATAGTGCGATCAGTTGATTTTGGAGAATTGAGTGATGCCGCCGTGGGAGCATTAATCTGAAGAGCGTCGCCAAGACAATGCTTAGCGCTGGAGTTGGTTTTAGTGTTTCCTTGAAGAGAAATATTTGAGGAACATTTGAAGAATTGTAAAGTACACACGCTCGGTGGTTTACAATGCTTGGGATTGCATTTGTAGCACGGCAAGTTTGGGCCTGTTGTTTCAAATGCTCTCAATGATTTTGTGAGTTGTAATTGTTACCTGTCGAGTGTGCAAGTTTGTGTGATGTTTGTACTGCCGTTGCTGAGAATACATTTTGTTTGTGTTGTAAACTCTTTGTTATAACTCGTTTTTTTAACCACAACTGCCATCACTGGTGCACTAAAAGGACCTACATTTAAATTGTGTGTGCTTTCGCGGTGCATTTCGGTTGGCTGGTACGGCAGCCCTTGGAATCTGCCTGGTGACTGCCTCTCCGTGAATGGCATCAGTGACCCTTTTCATTTCAGGTGAGTCAAACTAGCAGCATTCATGGAGAGCATTGAGGCCTACTCTACGAAAGACTGGCCCTCCTAGCGCTAACTGTTCACATAAATGGTGTAATAGGTACTTCTAATAACAATTCAGAATCGAATTGGTGATGTGCAACTACAAAACATGTTATTTACAGCCGGATTGAAACACTGCCACGCGTAGCAATACGGGTGAAAGCGTTTCTCCTGGGAGGAGTTTTGGCGCCTGAGCGGGTGGGAGGTGAACTAAGCCCGGGATGCAGCTTCGGCAGCACGCAACAGGCGTGTGCACCTTCTTTTTATTCAGCGGCCGTGGCACTAGCATACTAATCTAATAAAATAATGAAATTCAACCCCTGCTACAATTCAAGATTGCTTTCATCGCACTTCGAACCAAAAAGAATGACACTCGTACATGCTCTGTTTCAATTTTCCAAAATATTGTGCATGTTCCGCATTTATTCGCATAATGAACACACTCACATAATAAACGCACCCTCAACATCAGTCATCAAAATCTTGATTTCTTTTTTATCCCGTGTAATAAACGCACCCCCTATATTCCTCCGCTGCAGTCCCGCTAACCGACACCTGACGACTCCTTGCCTGTTGAATCTCTCCCGTTCTTTATTATTATGCCGACCCCCTTTGGCCACATCGGCTTGCTACCTCCCCCTTTTCGCCCGCTGCCGCACGCCGTATTGTTCTTCTTTCTATCTGCGCTTGGCACATTTCCTGTATTTTTTAAGATATCCGTGCTCCAAAGAGGGGTTCACGAACGATGCGAGTGTAGAGACATCGCAGCTGATAAGCACACAGCGAGTGAAGGTCACGAAACTGCTCGCGCCAACTGATCGTCGTTTTCTGCAAATTCGAAACTTCAAGGCCCACCCACATGCCCGTGATTTTCCAGCGATGATGACAGGGTTTGCTGTCGCCATGGTTGTCGTGAAGGGCCATTGGTCACCATCGCATCGCAGGTTTCTAAAAAACCAGATAAAATCCATCGCTTGTCACCCAGAAAAGATCGTGACGATTTCCTTAACATGATAGCATCCTCGATTCTTGCTTCGGTTGCAATTTGCTCTTTATGCTAGTTATCCACGTGTACTTCAAGGAACGCAAGACATGGGCTACTTTTTCTACAGTAATTTCTCATGTGAACAGCAAGATGGCAGCTGTATTTTGTCGTTAAGGTTGTTACGACGGTTTGTTTTGGATGCTTCAGCCGTGGTTTGATGCAATGTCAATGGCAGCAACGCGGTCGTTGTGTCAGCTTGCCATGAAGTTGGCAAAGTGCGTCGTAGCGTACGCTTCTGGGTGCCCCTCAAGATCACAGCAGATACACACAACTGTTGCGCTCATACAATTGCGAGAAAAAAAAGCCCCGAAATGCTTTTATGAACTGCACGGGCGGCGCAGGGACAGCTTGCAGAACATAGCGCCTTCAACCACCGAAGATGAGTGAAGCGCAACGAAGAAGCTGTTTTCTAACAGCGTACGTGTATGTCAATTGCGAAAGGCTAAGCAACTTTTTTTTTTCATTACCACATTTTTTGCTCATCCCAAAAAGGTTTTCATAAAATTTGCCTTGCATAGTACTAAACGCACCCCCAACTTTGCTCCGATTTTTGGAGAAAAAAAAAGTGCATTGACTACGCAAGTAAATGCAATTAGTTGGGTCATGACAAATATGGTGACTATCATTTAGTATATTATGTGAAATATACTATTCGATTCAAAATTATTCTAGCTATTCCCTTCAGATTTGCTCCAAACCTCAAATTGATGATATGTGGGATTTAACGTCCCAAAACCACCATATAATTATGAGAAATGCCGTAGTGGAGGGCTCCGGAAATTTCGACCACCTGGGGTTATTCTTGGTACCGTTTCGGCACGCACACAGTGTACGGGAAAACGGAAGGTGAAGAGACAAACAAGAATGTCTTCATACCTACTTGCCCAACTTTTCATTCTAATACATCTGGGGTTGTTTTATGCGCACCCAAATCTGAGCACATGGGCCAACAGCATTTTCGCCTCCATCAAATATGCAGCCGCCGCAGCCGGGATCCGATCTCACGGCCTGCGGTTCAGCAGCCAAGTACCTTAACCACTAGACCCGCACAGCAGGGCTCCAAACCTCAAATTTACCATTCACACATTCCTACATTTTTCTATTTTTACTGTACCGATGAGGTTTAACTGATATGCGGGCTATTCCCACAGTAATAGAGGGCCAGCTAAATTTAATCACCTGGGCTTTCTCGATTTGTGTAATGCACATAACAGCTTTTCGTGTTCCTCATCTAAACTTGCATGCTGTGGATGCACATAGGCAGACAAGAGGACGCCACTTACTTTACCACACTGCTGGCAGATGATCGTGCTGAGCAGGATTCCACCGAATATGTCATCCAGTGGTGTGCGAGCTACGGCTTTCTTGTACGCTGCAACCAGAGAAATCGCAAAACATCATCAAACACAACCGTTCTCACTAATCATGCACTCTAACTTCAACAAAGGTCAATGCTCCACTAACCCAACACGAATTAACGTGAAACGAGGTACACATTTCAAGCATCTCATGATACGCAGGGGCAAAGCGATCGAGACTGGATGTGACCTTCATGAGCCCACTGAAATTCATCTTGGGCAATATAAAATATGGTAAGGAAAAAGAATGAAAGAGGACAGGTGCCCACCGTGTGTTCTTTCTTTTAAGTAATTACAGTAGAGTCCACATATAACGGCCCCACTTAAAACAAACTTTTGCTTAAAATGAACAATATCCGCATGACCGTGAAAATATACATCTGTCGACTTCCCGGGAAACCAATTTCGACCTCCGATAAGGCATCAGCGAGGTGCCAATACATCCTTATTGTTAAACGCCGACCTTGCCTCCGCGACCCTCTATACTCCGTTTCATACATCAGGTGCAACGCTGTGAAGGCTAGGCAAGTAGTCCGTAAAGAAAACACGAGGTGTTGCTCCGCGCGGTTTCGTAGCCAAGTGGTCTGACGCGTCGCTCCGGACAGTTCACCGTAGTTTTGAAGTGCATGGGTTCGAATCCAAGTGGTGCTATTTTTTTTTAATAATTTTTGCGAGTTCGATTCGAAATCTTGTTTTTTTTTTTTAGTAACTTCAACTTACTTACTGACAGCTCTGATGTGCGAAGCTTCGAAAAAATTCGCGCAGGAGAGGTGATCGAGGACGCAGAGATGGACGCCATTTTTTAGAAGCTGCCACAACAAGTAAAAAAAAAATGGGCGTGTCAATTGCGAAAGGCTAAGCAACTTTTTTTTTTTTCATTACCACATTTTTTGCTCATCCCAAAAAGGTTTTCATAAAATTTGCCTTGCATAGTACTAAACGCACCCCCAACTTTGCTCCGATTTTTGGAGAAAAAAAAAGTGCATTGACTACGCAAGTAAATGCAATTACTTGGGTCATGACAAATATGGTGACTATCATTTAGTATAATATGTAAAATATACTATTCGATTCAAAATTATTCTAGCTATTCCCTTCAGATTTGCTCCAAACCTCAAATTGATGATATGTGGGGTTTAACGTCCCAAAACCACCATATAATTATGAGAAATGGTACCAAAACCACCTGGGGTTATTCTTGGTACCATTTCGGCGCGCACACAGTCTACGGGAAAACGGAAGGCGAAGAGACAAACAAGAATGTCTTCATACCTACTCGCCCAACTTTTCATTCTAATACATCTGGGGTTGTTTAATGCGCACCCAAATCTGAGCACATGGGCCTACAGCATTTTCGCCTCCATCAAAAATGCAGCCGCCGCAGCCGGGATCCGATCTCACGACCTGCAGTTCAGCAGCCAAGTACCTTAACCACTAGACCCGCACAGCAGGGCTCCAAACCTCAAATTTACCATTCACACATTCCTACATTTTTCTTTTTTTACTGTACCATTGAGGTTTAACTGATACGCGGGCTATTCCCACAGTAATGGAGGGCCAGCTAAATTTAATCACCTGGGCTTTCTCAATTTGTGTAATGCACATAACAGCTTTTCGTGTTCCTCATCTAAACTTGCATGCTGTGGATGCACATAGGCAGACAAGAGGACGCCACTTACTTTACCACACTGCTGGCAAATGATCGTGCTGAGCAGGATTCCACCGAATATGTCATCCAGTGGTGTGCGAGCTACGGCTTTCTTGTACGCTGCAACCAGAGAAATCGCAAAACATCATCAAACACAACCGTTCTCACTAATCATGCACTCTAACTTCGACAAAGGTCAATGCTCCACTAACCCAACACGAATTAACATGAAACGAGGTACACATTTCAAGCATCTCATGATACGCAGGGGCAAAGTGATCGAGACTGGATGTGACCTTCATGAGCCCACTGAAATTCATCTTGGGCAATATAAAATATGGTAAGCAAAAAGAATGAAAGAGGACAGGTGCCCACCGTGTGTTCTTTCTTTTAAGTAATTACAGTCGAGTCCACATATAACGGCCCCACTTAAAACAAACTTTTGCTTAAAACGAACAATATCCACATGACCGTAAAATATACATCTGCCGACTTCCCGGGAAACCAATTTCGACCTCCGATAAGGCATCGGCGAGGTGCCAATACATTCTTATTGTTAAACGCCGACCTTGCCTCCGCGACCCTCTAGTTGCCGCTCTTCCCAACCCATGGAGGAAGGAAAGTTGTTTCCTTCCTCCATGTTACGCACCCTTCCGTCCTTTGTCCTCCCGCTACTCTGGGGGGAAGTGATCTTTTTTTAAGAAAACAAAGTGAGCCCCGTAACTGTCTCTCAGTGGGAGGACACCTCAACAGTAGCTCACGAGGGATGGGGGTAGAGAAGGGAATAAAAGGATAGGATTAAAAGGTAGAGAGACAGAGAGAGAGGAAGGAGAGAGCGAGGCGGTGGGACAGGGAGCGACGGAAGTAAGGAGAAGACAGGAAAGAAAGACACAGTTGAAAGAGTCCGAGGACGGGGCACCACTGGCGAGAGCTCTTGTCGGCGACAGGAGATGGCGTAGGGCTAATCCAGTCAGCCAGAGCTACGCTGTCGTCATCGTAGGACCCCGACGGCAGGAGGTGGCGTAGGACCAACTCAGTCAGCCAGAGCTGCGCTGTCGTTGGAGATCGTGAGGGCACAACCGGTCGGCACAGAATCCAGTGAGCGAGTCCCGCTAATCTGAGCACCCCTCATCGCCAGACGTGGCCCGTGTTTTAACACTGCCACCGATCTTTCGAAGACCAATCGGCCATTTACTTCATTTTTGATCGCTGGTACTGTCGCTGGCGTCGCCGACCAGGAGTGATCAGACCATTTGCCAACATCGTCGGCCACCGACTGTATCCGATAGTCTGCGTCTAGTGCACGCGCGTACACTACCCCACCGACTCTGATAATTTGCGATTCGTTTCGTGTTTAGAACTTGTTCTGGCTCACTTCGCTATCGACTCAGCATACCTTCCACGCGCGTGCAGAAGCGCAAAAATGGCTGTTAATTTGCGTGGAACGAATTGCAAAATATCGCAGTTCGTGAGGCCACACAAACCCGCCGGCACAACAAAACGATTTTTTGACCACAGCCGCCGATTCTTCGAACACCGCCACGCGCACCGATCCAAGCGGCCATGCTTTGACTTCTGCGCGCGCAGGCACTCTTTCCAAGTTTTTCTACGTGCGAGTTTCGCGGACCTTTCAAGCAAGCTACCCAACCTGCCTCCTTCCCGTGTGCTTTGGTTTTCAAGGTCCCCCTACCACCGCATCCTCCCCTCTCTTTATCGCAACTCCTTGCCCTTTTTCTTGCAAGTCTGCTCTCCTTTCTTGATCACAACCCCTTCGCCCATCTCCACCGCTCCGCGACGCTCGCCACGCTGGCTCGAATTAGTTTCGTTTTCTGACTGGAAACGGGCCTTGAGCTGTTCCACGTTTTGTGGCATGTGTGTCGTGTGAGCGCGTCTTGCTCGCTCTTAGTATGCGTGTGTGGTCATGATGGCCGACGGGAGGCTTAGCACACCTTTTGGTGCTGCTCAACAAAACGTCGAAAGTGTGACCGCTTGGCTTGAGCGTAATCCGGGCTTGAGGTGCCACGTTGCGGATCGCTTGCTCATAGCTGTTGACCACCTGGCAGCCAACTTGCCGCTTCGGGCGTCCCGGTATGGTGAATATTTCGAGGGCGGCGGTGACGACTACATGCGCGCGAAACCGTTTTCGCGAGGCTGACTTCATCGGCGTCGGGCCCGATGCCGAGCCTGAAGCTTCTGAACTGCGGCGGCGATTTGTGGCAGCGCGTCATCGACTCCGACCTGGGAGAGCGGGTGGGACATCTGTTGCGATGGTTTATATATGGCCGGTGATGATGCAGACACTGCGGAACCGTGCACGGATTGGGGCATTGTGAATGAAGAACATGGCGAGAGCGATTTGGAGGAATCGGATTGCGAGAACGAAGAAGCTTTGGAGCCAGTGCCTCATGCAGCTTATGCCATGGGCCTCGGCGAACGAGCACCCTGCCATTTTAAATGTACTCAAGACCGCCCTCATCGCTTCTGCTCTTCGAAACACGTGCATCACGGACTTTTTGGGGGCAAAAAAGTCTGTGTTTTCACTCGCCAACTTTTTTTAAAAGCTGTGTTTCATTTACTACGAACTTCGGGATTCATCGAACAGATGCCACGTCACGCTCAGGTTCGTTATAAGTGGGCTCAACTGTAATTGTGGTGTCACAGGGGTAAGGGTATGAATGAGAGAAATCTATTTACAAAATCTACAGGAAAAGGCCGCTGCATCCAAAATGGTAGAACAACAACAATGACGTGCAACACTGTGGTTATATGCTCCAGAACAACAGTATGGCTAAGAGGCCTATGTTAGTGGGAGAGTCCGGAGCAGCTCTGACCGCCTGCTTACTTTTATGTTTAACAAGAATCCGAAAAACCATCGAAAACATTGAAATTCTACTTGCAAGATGCTACTGTTTGATAACCAGAGTTATTTCATGGATTTTTGAACAGGTGGCTCTGTTTCTGGTGGACTGTCCGTAAGCGGTGGCTGCACGAGAGCACAAGCAGTGGCATCAGATTCACCGAGGCCTGTACAGAGTGCACATGCTCCTGCCTTCTTCTTCCTTTTCTCTAACTCTCCTTTCATCCCACTCTCTTCCTTCTATAAATCAGCTTCACCCCAGCTGGGAGCATTGTTCGGGGCTGATGCTGCACGTACTGTATTTACTCTCAAAAGAGGCGCACCCCCAATTTGGTCGTGAAAAATCAGATTTTTCTTTATTTTTGCGCATATTGGACCATCACACAAACTTGACTGTGGTCAGTTGCTCTGTAGTGTATTTGCAATTACACACCCGCTTACGTTAACTGAAGCGAGAAAAAATTAAATTTTAAAAAATGATTGCGGCTGTGCTGCGCCAGCCCTGCGGGCTCTCAGTGAGAGGAAGAAGGGTGGCTGCCGGGGTGTCAGAGTAACCTTTGCACCGACTCCAGTCTTGCTCCAGAACTAGCCGGCCTCGCGCACTCCACATGGAACATTATTGATTGATATGTGAGGTTTAACATTCCAAAACCACCATTTGGTTATGAGAGACGCCGTAGTGGAAGGCTCCGGAAATTTAGAATACCTAAAGTTCTTAACACGCACACAAATCTCCGCACGGAACATGCGATTGTGTACTCGTCAAGTGCGCATTGAGTTTCCTCTCGGAAAAAGTGTCGTCGTTATCAAGTTTGCTACCTCATCCGCAAATTTAAAAACTTTTTGCCTTTTGAAGAGTGGGAAGGGACAGGGGTTAATCCCCTCTTTCCCCACCTCGCCCGGTAAAACTGCCGAACTTTAAATGAAGTTTATTCATTCATTCATTCATTCATTTCCGACGCTAGCTTTCGCCCAAGCTGCCACTACGAGGACTTGCTCAAGCTCAGCAGAATTTCGTCGCCATAGATTTCCTGGCCGCGAACCCCAACATCGTATCACGCGTAATGCTCTTGGATAAGTGCTTGAGTGTGGTCTTTTAGACGCCCAATAGTGGTTCAAGATTCAACTGCAATGTCTTGGACATGGGATGCGAGACCCATGATATCGAACAATCGGCACCATTCAGCGCACAAATTTTCGCAATGGCACTTTCTTCTTGTTCCCCCTTTCCCACCTTCATTTTGTTGGCAACCTGGGTCTTTTGATGTTAAATTTTTTAAAACTTGAAGCACACCGCCTCGCATACCTCGATTTGTGGACTCGTGAGACTGCATGCTCAAACGTCTTGCGCTAGTATCGCCTATGAAGAAGCATGTTTTAGCTGTAGTTCGGATATTCGTGACTTCGGCGAGGTATACGCTATCAATGGTCTTGGCTGTCGTTGAAAACAATATTGCTGGTAATTTTACCCTGCGTAATCGGCGCACCCCGAACTTGGAGCCCAACTTCCAGGAAAAAAAAAAAGAGCACATATTATGCAAGTAAATACGGTAGTAGTTCTGGGAACCGTAGTAGGAGCTGAGCAGGTTAAGAGACATGGGCAATGTTTGCATGCCCATTTTTGGTGCACGTAAAGTCACCCAAAGTCACCTCCTCTAGTTCACAGCGTGGCCGCTATGCGCGGCAGTTTGTGAAAAACGCATTCCTCCCAATTCATTATTTTCTTCTAGTTTCTTCCAGAAAGGAAGGTTGTGTCTATTGTTTTCAGCACTCAATTTTTCAATTTGGCTGAAAATCTTGGCGGCGAAAATTTCGTTGGGTATCCCTTTAACCTGAATTTAAAAACAGGGTAGTCTTGAATTTTACTGCTACTGAAATGCAGCCACTATGGACAGGAATCGAACCCGCATCCTTGAGCTAAGTAATGCCGCATCTTGACTATCATATTGCCATCCTGGGTTTTTGTCTTTCTTGTCCTCTTTTTTTTTTTATATTGCACTATCCCACTCGTAATGAATGCGTGAAACTGACCTGGTTGTTAGTATTAGTACTTCAAACCAACTGCAAAGCAAAGGCCTCGTCTCTCATCTCGCTTGAGACTCTTCTGCTGTTTTGCACTGAGGCTAAAAGTATTACTGTGACATCTGTCATATGTCACACCTCTCTGCAATGAGCATATATAAAACCATATAAGTTTGCATTTCAAGCCAAGCTTGCACGACTATAGATGATTCACCAGCTAATTTAACAAAGTTTCCCAATTTTATCGCTTCACTGAACTGCTCCACCTAAAAGGTGCACGACGATGACAGCAGGGGGACGTTTCTGATGTTTCTACATCACGTGCGCAGAACAATTGCAATTGTCTTTCAGCTCACCTTGAATCTTAGCCTTGGTGTCTGGCTCAACCTTGTTTGGGTCCACCTTACTGTTCAGTCCAAATGCTTGCAATACAGCTTGTTTTTGTCGCTGTACACACAAACCAAAAAGAAAAGTGTGCCATGAGCTAAGAACTGTTCATCAATCGAAATACAAGACAGGCTTACATGATATACAATACAATTGTTTAATTACAGCAGTTAATATGGAAAAAAAATCTAGGAACCTTAACAGTACGTCCCTCATTGGCTTGATGAACTCAGCATACCAATTCTATATCAGAATTCAGGGTAATGCATGTTTCACAAAAAAAAAAATTCACTTCTTGGCAGTGTGCTTTGTCACTACACAGCTGTGCAAATAGCAAAATCTTCAATACAGATATTGAAGTGTGAAGGCGGATCGAATAAAATATTTTTTGAATATTTCGAAATTTTTTCGTATACCTCTAAGCGAAATTGCAGAAAAAATGTTAGAGAGGATTCCTATGCATACACTTATGAGATGGCAATATGGAAGTATATTTTTTGGATAGGTTGATGAAGCGCTGACAGCTGTTGCACTTAGAATAAGGCAATGCAAAGGTTGAATTGTATTTATGTACGTGATTTGGTACATCCAAAGTGCGGCCGTTTACACTTTAACCGTGAAGAGCTATTTCCTCAACCTCTCCTCCTCTTTTGACTTCCATGGAGGCCTATTGATGTCATCGACGTGGGTGTGCTCCCTTCGAGTCTGGAGTTCCAAATCTGCCTCATAGATGTCAATGTAAAAAAATGTCTGAAATTTTGGATGCTAAAAATCATTGACGCCTCTTTTTTCAAACTTCCTGGCCAAATTTCAGGTTCATAACGGCATTGATTGAGCCCTCATGTCTACCACATCTATCATCTCCATGATGGAACCAGCGTTCTCTCAAGTCAATACACTTACAACCATAGCAGAGCCTGAAAAGCAGCTTAGCCGCAATACGAGAGTGTGATAAGGTGAAGAACATTAAAAATCTGAAGGTGCCACTGTCAATCGCACATTGACTGTAGTCGTCTTTGGGAAGTACCAATGTTTCTAACAGTAAAGTTCGAGTTTCAAGTCAAATCAAATGGCAAAAACTGTTTGAAAAATATTCAGAATTTCGAATATTCACACAGCCGTAGTTATCATTGTCAATAGCGCAAAAGCTGTAGTGATATACAGCATACAATGAACTTGCAAGCAAGTGGATTCATCCTTACGTTATTGCATCTGAATGTGTAATATAATAGTAGTGCTTTGAAAATAATTTAAAAAAAACAGTCAATGCCCCGCTGGAAGTACAGTTCTGTAACGTCTTCGCAATTTCAAGTATCATGACAGGCCTCACATTATATAAACCACCATTCTTCACCATGCAAGTCGTCTCGTTCTATTTACACTGGCACTTCACTGCGTGTCGCACTTCCAAACACAACCCGCATCGCTCTGGTGTTGGATGCTGTGCTGTCATATTGGTTCACAACGATTTGTAATGCCGATGTTATTTTGCAAGTATGGTGCAAAATAATGCAGCAGATTATTCACTGATCATTGGTTACATCAACAAAGCGATGTTTGAAAAGACAAAGTAGGACTCACTAAATAAGAAAAAACGTGTCACTGCATATGCCAATCTGCTAAGTGTACCATTGCACTACATAATTAGCTTTGATTCAACTTGGTGCATTCAGTTAGTCTAGGTGGTGCTGACTCAGAGCTCCACAATAGTAGCAAACAAGCACAAAAACTACATGTAAAGACATGGTACAGGCACTAGAGTTTGGCTGATTTTTAATCGGCATGAACTGCAGATATGTAGCTCTTTCTATGTAGTATTTGGTGCATGTCTGCTAGCATGATGGAAGCTTTGATTCAAGCGGCATGCAGCAAACATACTCAGTTCCTCTTCTTAGGCATTAGCAGCATGCAATAGAAACAAGCTGAACGTGTAATAATTTATTAGCCCTACTTTTCCCGCTCTTTGTGGAAGTAGGAAGGTACCTGTGTCTGCACTGCATTGAGGAGGAATTACTGCAGACACAGAAATAAAAGAAGAGAGTTGACAATAATAATAATTGTTATGATTTGAAGGAGCACTGACATCAAATTTCAAGATCTAGATGTGCCCATCATTCGATCGCTTGGTATGCACAGGTCTTGGTTAAATTTGAATGGCATCCGTCGCGTGGAAGTTATTTTAATTCGATGTCAAACATCGTAGAAAAGCTAGGGATAAAAAAACGGAAAATGGCTGCCCTGCAACATCGACACCAGTGCTACGTGTTCGGTGTGATACATACCACAAATACCATCCTGAGTAACGATACGCTAGTAACAATGACGTCGACGATCTGAGTGTGTTTGGAGCCGACTCTTTGCCATGCCCTCACTAATGGCTCTCCTTGCTGTGTTAAAGCGTGCGTGTGATTCATCGTGTTGCATCGACTTATTTGACATGTGTTCAACAGAGTGACTATGATCATTCAGAGTGACAACATGTGCCAGAATGTCGGGGAACCGCTGCGCAGTGGGAACCTGCACGTCGATCAAGGCGCGGAAAAAGTGAAGTTGTGTGGCGTTTTATGCCTTTCCAAGCCACAAACCTCAACGCAGCCAGTGGGTTGACTTCGTATGCGTCGATGAACAGAGGGACTGGACGCCTAAGAACAGCCACATTTGTTTGCTTCACTTTGCGCCGAGCTGCTACAGGGTAAATCCTGTGTTGGCGAATGAGTTAGGTTTTGCTGGAAGTACGAGGCCCCTTCTCGAAGCTGGGGATAAAGGGAGAGGGGAAGAACGAGTTGGCACTACTTAACATAGCTGGCGGAAAACGCATGGAGGGGCTTTAGTCTACATCATCAGAGACACAGCTCGACTGACTGCACGTGCACTCTTAGCAGACGAAATGCCAATGTGCGCGATGTCACCATTTTTTGTGAAAGCAGCATCAACTGTGCAGCGGCCTCAAGGTGGCCGCGAGGTACCGCTGACAGCACTAGAATTTGGCGGGCTTTCGACCCATTTTGAGCCATGTTCGATAGCGGATATATTAATCAATATTACAGATATTCATTCGTACCTCAGATGCGTTTTAGGTCGCGAATCGCTACTAGGGTGTCGATAGTGTTACGGGTGTCTCTTGACCGCCGCCGTCAGCAGGTTGTGCTCGTAACTTGCATCAGGACCGACGAGAAGGGAAGTACCGGCGAGACGGCGCAGAACAGCAAATCAAAAGAGTTTAATACTACATAGTTAGACCAAAGTGGACATTCAAGTTTACAAACATAGGTAAGAAGCCGAGGAGCAGAGTTCCGGCAGAGTCTCAATCCAGACTGCTCCACCCAGTCTCTCTCTGCGCGTTTTTAAAGGGTTCCAGACGCTTGTGTGACGTCAGGCGCCTCCAGACATGACCAAATATGGAACACCTTGTGTTCGCACCACCTACCACGCCACTGGTCACGCCACCGATCACGCGACTGATCGCGCCACGGATCACACCACCGGCGTTCCCACACTCAAGAGCCAGGTGCGAATGAGCCATGAGCTCACCGCGTTCTCGCGCACAGCACATGACGACCTTCGTGGCAGCAGCGTCTCAGGTTCCTCGGCGTCTGGGCATACACTTCTGCGCCTCTACCCCCGATACGTTTACAGGCCCGGGAGCGTTCGCACGCTGTCCGTGGTCTTGCATTTGGGCCCAAAGGGGTTCGCGTAAAATGAAGCGTAACAGACTGCCCCCTCGCGGATGGAGATCCCGAATGGCAGGGGACAGCATCCACTGTCAACAGGGATCAGTCGTCGAAGCCCGTAGCCTTCTTAACCTGGAGCACGGTACGTGATACCTGGCTCCAGGCCCTGTTCCGTCTCGTAAGGTAGTTCCGCCAGATTTCCCTGATGTTGTCGAGGTTCGCCGGAGGCTGGAGGCGAACCATACGATGGAATCCAGCAAATGGCGACAGTCAAAAGTGGCCAAAGACAATGGTATGAGCTCCCTTCCGGGGCGACCCCGCAGGGGCTCGTCGGTGGGGCTGGTCGCCAGGCAGCTCCGGGTGGTGAGATCATCACACCCCACCGCTTCAGGTCTTTCATCAGCAAGAAGGGAAACCACAGGTTCTTCCGGCGTTCCTGCCAAGAGTTTGGAACCGACGTGGTGTCCGAAGAGATGCCAGATGACAACGAAGTCCTCTCTCTGGGAGAGCAAGATCCTCGCCATGGTAGAGCCGGTCGACTGAACAAACAATCCACGGGAAAACACAGGATAACAAAGCCACTGAAGCAGCAAGCGCGAGACACGTATCCACTGAGCCCCGCCAGGCTTACCTTAAACACAAAAGTCTCAATCTTATTACTCGTACAAAGTACTAAACACACCCCTAATTTCGTTGCCCACCTAACGACGCACAGGTCTTCCAAAACTACGGAAGAAATAATAACACAAAAACCTATGTCAGGAAGAAAAACAATCGAGGCCAATTCATGACCTAGGGGCTTCGGCTTAAGCCATCGGCATTGCCATTGAGACTCCCCTTTTTGTACCGTATTTCGTATGAATACTGCTGCAAAACGAGGCTCCAGCGCAGGAGGCGACCATTTTTGGAAGAAGTGGACTGCAGCCATCTGAGAGGACAGTGGTCTGTCTCTATTATGAACCTCGAGCCTGCAAGGTAGCACGACAACTTTTGCACTGCCCATACGAGACACGCACATTCTTTCTCGGTTGCGCTATACGCTTGTTCTCGCACAGTCAGCTTACGACTGGCATAAAGAACTGGGTGTTCACCGTCCTCTCCTCGTTGGCACAACACTACTCCCATGCCTCGCTCACTAGCATCACAGTGAACTATGAACTCTTTCGAATAATCAGGTGATTTCAGCACAGGTTGACCTGTTAAGACGGCTTTTAATGCTTTGAAAGCCTCCTCTTTACGGTCATCCCAGATGACAGTTTGTGGCTCAGTTTTCCGGAGCGCGTCAGTTAAAGCGCTAGCTAATTCCGAATATCTCGGGATGTAACGTTGATAGTAACCTGCAACCCCCAGAAATGAGCGGATATCTGTCTTTGAGCGTGGTTGCGGGAA